TTTTTGGAGACTGCGTGTGACCTAATGGATCATTCTTCCATGTGGGAAAATGTATCAGGATAGTAAAGTTTCAACTGTGACCCTGAGGTGCAAGTCCTGTTGCAAAAGTGAAGGTCAGTGGTTTCAGGGCAGATTGTCAGATCCAATCACACACATAGAGGACAGTGCTAACAATAGCACTGTGATTCCTGGATTGTTTTGACCAGAATACATTAGCTTTAATTGGTGCTACTGGGAAGTGGATGAGTATTATTGACAGATAAATCAGATAGTTCCCTAGACTTTTTGTTGTAATCCAAACTTTACCAAAACTTCAGATTACAGATCTAGTTTCAGTGCTTTTATCCCTCTCTGTTGTCTGTGGTCCCCTCACATTGCCTGTATGTTGGAGAATATTTTGCTGCCATCCGTCTGTAATCAACAGTATGTATGAAGTCTGTAACAAACCTTAAGTGTGTCTGGTTCATCGTCATTTCAAGTCATGAGCTGTTGGGATTTGGGGTTGGGTTTTTTTTGGGTTTTGTTTTTTCCTGCCTTTGTTCCCCTGTCTCATCTTTTCCTGCAGCAGGAGTAGCTCCTCTAGAGAGCTGTTTGTTTTTTCCAGTTAGAGTGGTGCTGTTTCTGCATTGTTAGCTTCATGGTTGTGATGAAAGACTGCTTTAGAAGAGGCAGGCGTTAGAAGGGTGTTCAAAAGACCATCAAATTCAGAAATGTGTTTGCACTCCGAACTCCTTGACAGGAAATATGGGCTTTTCCATGTTTTTATTGGCAGTGTGAGAACCCCATGTCATGAGGATGGAAGTCATCCCATGCACAGGAAACTTCACCACAATGTACCCAGCACATTTCTTGTGAAGAGGGTAAAGGTTAGTTTGGGGTAAAGACCGTTTGTAAACGCTTTCTGTTTCTGCTGGTAAAATGACGGAGGAGGCTGAGAGGGTTGGACTTCAAACTGACCTATAGCGAGACTCATCATTTTCCACGGCATTGTGCCATGTTCAACTTGATGAAAGCTGTTCTGCAGAGTGAAACAGAGCTGTGCTTTTTCCTTGATGGTTAACAGACGTGTGTGCTACAGATGTTTGCTTCCACCTCTGGGTATGTGTATTTTTGTACTCACAGAAGAAGTACTGAAGAAATAAAAATACTGTGATGACAAGTGAAATTAAAACAGTATCTCATTAAGAAGAATGATAATTTTATTTCATTTGTGAATATAGACAAATAGTCTTAATTTGCACAAAGAACTAAGTGGCCTTAATTGCATTTTTCTGTAGAAAGTACTTAAATATATTAAAGAGGTAAAATTAGGTTTTTAGATTAATTGAGTTTGCTGAAGTTTCTAGTGGGGAAGGACTGAGATAAAATTCTGTGACTTACATGTTTATCTGTAAGTAAGTGGGATCTGTGGACAGGGAAGCAAAGAGAAAGAAAACTACTTTCTGATGCAGAAATGTCTTTTTATCTAAGTATCGCTGAAAGGTTGCATTTGGGGATTTCCACACTGCGCAAATACATTCATTGTATCTTGTGGTAGCTGATTTTGTTTTCTCGTGGAAGACTTTTCCCTGTTCTTGCCGAGGTTACCTACTTGCTCAGGATCCTCAGGTGGGCTTCAGAGAGCGACAAGATTCTTCAGGCCAAACTTCATTGTCCTTGGTAGTCAGGATTCTGGTGAGTGGAAGAGGGGGACATTAAACCAGCTTGTGAAGGGAACCTGGACTTAAGAAGTAGACTGAGAGGGGAAATACGGCCTCTTTGTGGAGCTGACAAATTAGCACCTGCTGAGTATGTTTTTGGTGGAGAAGTAACATAAGTGGGAGGCAAGGGTTCATATTGGATGCTGGCATCACTTAATTTCTTTTGGCTTCCCATGGACATAGTAAGAGGGATGACCTAGATCATGGAGTGAGTGGGCTGAAACTCCGTTACACAGTCAACCTGTGGATCTGCAGTAGGCACAGTCTGTTTTGCTGCCCCCACGAGTTTGGCTGGAAGGATCTGAATCAAGGTGTCACGACCTTCACTTTTCCTGGTTTGACCTGTGTGAGATTCAGGACATTCACTCTCTCATTAAAGGAGACAGAAGAGTGAAGTGCATGTCAGACTTTGAAAAAAAACAGCTCTTAATCTTCGTTGGTCTTAGCAGGCTTTCGCTGGATGTTTTGCTCTTGGCTTGCCTCTGCAGCCAGTAGTGATAGAGTTGATCCCAGCCTTCACCTCAGATCCTTGCATGGTTCATAAAATCCTTGCATCTTCTTTGAAACAGCTGTTGGAGGGTTGCTGGAATTACTGAAAAATTGAGTTTGAGCCAAGATGGCAAATTTTGTTTCACTACCAAGGTTTTCTATCATTGGAGGTAATAAACAAATAATGAAAATTCACTGTATGCTAGTTATGCTAGAGACGGTGCTCTTACATGAAAGGCAACATAGTCATAACTTAGCATAGTCTGGCATTTCATCCTTTCCATTATTTTGACCATATTGATTACAGTATATAGGATGTCAGTTGAAAATCTGGCCATGCTGCAGGTCCAAAATACTGTTTAGGCAGTATTCACTTTCACTTTTTTGTGTGTTGTTAAAACATTTTCAGTCAGAGAAACTTTTTATTAAGATGTTATTTGAAGAATGCAGTTGGTTGAAGGAGTCTTCTTGATGTTTCAAAATGGATTTTTCAGGAACAGAAACCCTAATTTGTAAGGTTCAGGGAACGGACCTTACAGTCTGGAGAGTCTAGAGAGTTGTAAAACTAGCAAGTACCGCAAAACTACTTTTTCACTCTCTCTTGGAGATGATGGTAAATGTTTAGTAGGATTACATCCCCCTTTTTTCTTTCCTTTTTTTTTAAGCATTAAAGAAACTGTCAGACTCTCCCTTTTTCTCTGTTATTTTCTTCATATCAATGTATCAATAACATTTAGCCTTCCACTGCTGTTGCATTTTCTGCTTTGGCATACTAGTCAATAACTGGAGTACCCTCTTTCTCCTGCTTTTTTTATGTGTGAATGGGAAAAAACCTCTTTCTTACAGTTTGATATCACTTGACACGTTTGTTTCAAGGAGTAGTTTGGTAGGGGATTTTGTTTTGTTTGCTTTTCAAAAAGAGAACAGACCAAAGCATTTTGCTAAAACAATTGATGAGATAAGGAGAATATTAGCTTGTAGTTGTACAAACTTATCATCCAGGGTTTATTCTAGAGCAGAGATGATCATAGCTTTTGCTTGAGATGTTGCAAGCAGTCAAGAGTGAGACCAAACGTCTCCAAGTTTCAAGCCCACGGGATGCGAGGCCATGCAGCTGAGCAAGGTGGCATTTGCTTCCCACAGCCAGCTGACAGGACTGAGGGTAACAGGGCAGAAGTGGCATCTGATGAAGACCTCTTCTTCTGCTCATGTGCTTTTGTGCTAATAGAGCACCAAATAAATATTCACATAATGGAAGGGAGCCTTGTTCAGAAGCCTTTTCTGAACTGTGGGCATGACCATTATTGGGATTTGAGGTCAACAACAGCTTCACGTGTTTCTGTTGGAAACTGAGCTTGCAGCAAAACTTCATGAAGTGCAAAGCTGCACATACTGCCAACATCCACTGTCTGCAGTAATAGTAAGGGCAAAGCCAGAGGCTCTGTGTGGATGTATCATGCCCATCTTCAGGATAGTTTGCCTGGACATGAATTACATCAGCCTTTGGGATTGTTGGCTGCAGGACTGGCCCCAGTTCCTTACTGTCCATTAAGGTACCATCTTGGGAAACTCTCTGATGTGTTAATACTACCTTTAATTTGGTAGGAGTCCTATCTCCCTTGATTTTTATCAAAAACATGATTATAAAGTTGCAATCATTGAAAGGATTGTAATTCAAGCAAGTGATCAGAGTACCTGTTGTTTGTGTCTGTCAGTCCATGCAGTGAGTAGAGGGAACTAACTCATCCCTGCCTGAGCAAGCACAACTGTGGGAGGGATCCAGTTTGCCCAGCTGCAGCATCAGGCCTAATCTAGTCATCTAAATTCTTTCTATAATTAGAGAGAAAGAGGTAGCTTCATGAGGTGACTCATCCCTCCTACCTTGGAAAATGATGACTCATTTGCTGGAAGTGCCTGTGTCTCACCATTGACTATGTAGAGAACCTGGGCTGAGATCAGATACCTGCCTGCTATGTAGTTTAGGTGAAATAAAATCCTTTCTGTAAGTGATAAGAGCTCATACCTTAGTTCTTTCACGGTGTTGGGTAATTGGTAGGGCTGGTGATTAAATCAAGAAGCTCAGACTGGACTTCCCCATCTCTTTTGTTGTAGTATGGCATAGGTGGGACGTCTTAGAAGACATATCCTATTAATGCAAGTGTATTTGAGTGAGATGGTAGCACTAGCAAATACAAACCTTCAGTTAACCTGTAGTAAATTTAAGAATAATTCACTTTTCCTTGTGTGCTTGTTGCCAGCTGTAAATAGAAGCCCCTCTTGCATAGTAATGTCACCCAATGGAGAAAGATCCCTACATCCTAACCTGTGGAACTTCTGTGTTTTGACACAGGATTTTTCCTCCTGACAGTGGCAATTATAACTCTTCCAAACAAAAAAATGTTGAAAGTTTAACTGTAGAAAAGCAAGTATAGTAGGTAATGCTGTCTCATATTCAACATATCATATACATTCTTTTTTCTTAATAGCCCCAAGCTTTTTGGTAAACATGTTAACATGTGTTTCCATCAGCTATTCTACCCACTCACCAAATGCTGACCTGAAGTCAGTCCTCTTCAGCATAAGTTTATTTCTTTGTATTCCTACTCTAAGTGGCTATTGCTATGACTACTGCTGGGTGAGGTCCAGTAGAGGATTATACTGTTTTTCTATTTTCAGTAAACTTTATTATGAGCGCTGGTAATCAGAAGTAAAATCTACAGTTAATCTGAGAATGGTACCTGCCCATTGGTTGTGATTTATGCAGTATAAAAAATCTGATAATTAATCCTGATTATTTTGTTGATTTTTTAGATGTGGATTTAACTGATGTTGATACACAAAATCCCTCCACACATGAGGAAAAGAGCTTTCTGTAAGTATGATCCATGTAAGTAAATTGAAAATGTATAATTAGGTGAGAAATTAATATTGCCATTTAAATGGAGAACATTAGAAAATTACTAATATCAATAATATATAAATAGAAATAGTTTCAAAACAAATTAAATACCTGACTCTATTTTAACTTCCTAAGGATTGACCCTTTTTAAGGATGCCAGCAACTAAAGATTGTAGCTGAAAAAAACAGCAGGACTCTTTAACCTAACCCCTGTCTGACCTGTACCTATGTGAACATGTTAGTTACTCTCTAATAAGATATTTATAGGTTTTGGGGGAAGGGGCTGTGGCATTCTGTCTAAATCTCTGCAAGCACATTTTGTGGGTCTTTCTTCAGGCAGGTAGATTTAATGGACTCACAGACTGTTAAACATCACATTATATGAAGAACAAACCAAGGAAAACCCATTGCAGCAAGAAGGGTAAAAGATTAGAAGAATGGAAAGACTTGGAAACTGGCAAAAAATTTTGATGGAAGTTTTATTTGACCAAATATTAGGACATTCAGTACTATTTGAGAAAGTCTGGGGATTCACAAGCCACTTAACCACTTAAACGTTATTAAATAAGAAAAGCTTTTTTACTGTGTGTGATCCAACCTCCGAACAACCAGGTTGGCCCGAGAGGTACATTCTTGTCCAAAGCCAACTAGACACAGTCCTGAGCAAATTCCTCTAGGTGACCCTGCTTTTGAGCAGAGGAGTTGGATTAGATGTTGTCCAGAGTTTATCCAACCTCAGCTATTCTGTGATTCTGTATGAACTGGTAAACTGCCTGCTTTAATTTTTGGCTGTCAGAAATTATAACTATGATGCAGAGTGTTGTTCTGTACATTGTCACTGAATCTCAAAGCTTTTGGGGATGGGATGGTCAGAGCTCTCAATTTCTGCTTCTTTCACTCAAGAATTCATTTTTTTTCCTATTTGGAATTGACTTACAACAGTTCTGAGTGGCAACAGATTGATCTGTCTGGTAGACACAACCCAAATTCCTTCTTTCCTAGAGTGAGCTCATTTAAAATCTCATTCCTAAACTCACATAGATGGCTAGGGTTGTATTCAATTTAGTTGTCTTAAATTAACTTGAATTTGAACTTTAGGTGCCCAGTGAAGCAGTGCTAGTTAAGAAGATGCTAGTGTTCCCTGTGGAGAGAGGGAAATTCTTTTGAAATCCTCCAGAGGGAGATGCTGACTAGTTAAATTCAGAGACTTAAGTTAGGCAGGTTAAATGTGCCTTTGGAGGTCTTCAGATGGGTTTGAAGTGCCTTTTAAAAACGCAAGTATAAGCTGGGTGCTTTATTTAATTAGAATGCATCTTGCTCATTGTTAGGTCCATCAACCTAAAAGGAAGATAAATATTTTTCCATTTTGTAGTACAGTTCACATGCTTTGTAAAATGAATGAGGGGCTGCTGTGAAGGTATTAGTCACGGTATTACTATCTTTCAAGTTTATCAAATTTTATTCCTCACTTCCTAAATTAATGGTATTTGTCATAATACTGTGAAACAAATACGATGTTCCATGACTGCAGTGCTAACGTGGCTGATGGAAGGAACATTGAAATTCATCAGCCAAACCGAAAACACCACATTTAAAATCATAACCAATTTTTCTGTAGGTTGTGTGTTTCTTTCCTGCTGCAGTGTTTCACTTCATAGGCATTGTGAAGGAAGAGTAACTGTCATGGATGTCTGTAGACCAAGAAAGTGCAGGATAAAGCACAGATGCTGCCATGTGCCACGTCAGCAGGCATCCCCTTTTGCTTTTTCTTTCCACCACCATCCCAGAATTTCAACCTCTCTCTGGCCCAGTAGGCTTTATTTATAGTTTTCATTATCCCTTTCTCATGGCAGTAGAGCCTAGAACAACACAGTGTGCTGACACTAACAACATTTCCTGCCCTTTTGTTCTGTGCTCTGCCAACCCGTTGTCCCTTTGTCCTTATCCCTCATCCTTCCTCTGCAGACAGAGGCCCCATCTGACAAATTTACTTGTGCTCCCCAGGGATTATGAAAAACCAGGAAACTTCATTAAGGGTGGTTTAATAACTTAGACAAAGGAGAAGAGCAGCTGGTCCGTTAACGAGTCTCTCTCAAGCCCCATTCTCTGACAGAGGAGCCTTTCTTGCACGTGGCACAGTTTTCAACAATATGCTGTAAAATGTTACAGATGTACAGTTCATGCAAATGGAGTTACTGTGTATTGGATCTGCCTTGAGCATTTTATTTGAATGACGTGTGGAGATTTTATGGCAGTAGGTTTGCTGCTGTTGAAAAGAGCAGTAGCTGATAGTAGCCTAAAATTTTAGTGTATGTTTTTGCTCTCTCTGTTTCTTAGCGTGGTAATGTTAGAGGAATAGCAATTGGAGACAACCTGCTGCACTCTGCTACTCAGTGAGACAAACATCAGTAAAGCCAAGCAGCGAGAAAAGAAAGGCTCTTCATGAGAAAATGACAGCAAGAGAACACAGTCCCCGCCATGGTGCAAAATCCCGCACTGTGCAACGGGCCTCCACCATTGATGTCACCTCTGACATGCTTGGCCTGTCTTTAACAGGTAGGTACCTTCGTGTCAGCTGTTCCTCTGTTGTTACTCCTTTCAGGATCTTGTTTGTACTAATGCTGGGGTTTTTCTTTTAATTGCTAGAAGATTTGGATGTGTTTGGTTATCTGGAGGTAATGAGATAAAGGAGTTATGCTACGGAATTTAAAAATCTTGAACTTGCCATTTTTAAAATAGACAAAGCATTAAAATTGGAGAGGGGGTTAAAAAGCGAAATTAAACTAGATTTTGTGCAGTTTATTAGTCAAAAATAAGCAATGGGGAAAAAATAACAAAATAATGTCAAGGTCTAGGAAGAGTCTTGGCAATCTCCTTGTTTGACATTGTATAAAATTTTCAAGAGAGTTCAGGGAGCTGAGGCTTATCTCCTCATCTTTTATGGTTAGTAAATTAGGATTGTAACCCTCAGAGGCTTTCTTTCATTAGTGATAGAGACAGGTACTTTCAGACCTCTTCCTAGTAACTACCACAGAGGAGATGGATCTGATTTAATAATTTGGAGTTAATAGTGGCTTTAATCCTGTTGTTTTCTACTGATATTAAATGTTTAATATTCCCATATTGCATATACTCCTACATAAATTTATGTATTTTAATATGTTTTATACACTGAGATCATCCCAGGTTTTCCAGGCTTACAGAATAAATGTTTTAGATACCAGTCATGGCTCACTGGATTAAATTTTTTTTTTTAATAAAATTTAATTTCTTTCTCTGTATGATTGCAACTTCAGGAAAGAATTCACATGACAGTGGTGTTTGGCTAATCTTGTGTTAATTTTTCTGCTTTACAGGAAACATTCAGGACCCAGATGAGCCGATTTTAGAGTTCAGTTTAGGTAGGCTTATTGATTTTTATGCTAAATTTGGTGATGCATGCTGTTGAATGTGTGTGCAGTTTTTTAATTGTTGATTTTGAAGTGCCTTTCATATAGTAAGGTTTGCAACTTTACTGTGATTTTTATGGAGTTGTGGTACAGTTTTTGTGCTGCCTGTACAGTACCTTTTGTTAAGCAGCCAGCAGTTTGATTTTGTGATGTTTCTAAAAGTCTGTCTATAACACACACCTTTTTTCCCATGGTCTTTGCTGTCAAGTGTGAGATGCAGAAGTGACCTAAATTCTGAGATAGTTAAATTTGGACAAGAAGCTTGTACATTGACTTCACCTCACTTGAAGAATAAGTGGAAAATATTTTTTCATGAAAATTCAGTCCACCTTTTCAACTGCAACGTGGTTTTCTTGGCTTAATAGTGGACTTATATTTGGGAAGTTATGCTCTTACAGTATGTTTGAAATGAAAAATTAGAAAATTTTCTCAGATGTGTGTAATTGTGTTATGAATAATAATTTTAACAGGCACTCTCAGAGCTGAATAAGGTACTTTAAATATTTTCAAATAAATTGAAAATATCTAGAACTGCAAAGCTATTTAGGTAAATTTCAGAGTTAACTTCCTGCATGTAGCTGAAACAGAGTTATACCACACCTTTTGTACTAGTATCTAGCTAGATAGAATTTGGCTTTGAAGTGGAATGTAATTTTGAAGTGTAATTGAAATTTTTTTAGTAGTAGTAGTTTAGTAGTAGTCATTTCCTACTCACCATAATCCCCTTCCAGCAGTTAAACTCACAGTAACATTTTAGAGGAAATAAATTGCTGACATTTACAATACAAGCTAGTTTTCCTCATAGTAGTGCTGCTTGATCAGTGTTCAGGTGCTTCTGTCTGTTCTCCATGGGCAAATGCCATTTGGTAATGGGCTTAGTGGAGCATGACTTCAAATCAAATGTAGCCACGCTCCTGAGATTCCCAGAGGAAAACCTATGCATGTACATGGTTATAATGTGCTGTGCCAGGAGGGTGGATAGGCAGGGGTTAGAAGAGAACAAGTTTAAGTTGCAGCTCTAGAGCTTGGAGCCAGACTGATCAGATTGCACGTTTACTGTTTGCATGCAGTGAGTGGTGGTAGGACGAATATTAAACCTTTCACTGTTCTATTGCTCAGGGTATATAAAATGTTTTTATAAATATACGGAGTCTTACAACGATAGGATAAAGATCCTGAATCTTAAATTTATTTCTCTATTGCATGCCTAAAGCTTGCAGTGAGCTGCTAACTCCATCGCTAGATCGAAAACCAAATAGTTTTGTAGCAGTGAGTGTAACTACACCTCCCCAGGCCTTCTGGACGAAGCATGCACAGACAGAAATTATTGAGGTAAGTGGTGAGGTGCTCCTGAATTAGATTTAAAATTGAAGCTAACATAGGAAGCATTTCTTCCTAAAAAATATCACCTTGCATTAATTTTTGGCTTTTTGTTTATGATTACAGGGAACAAGTAATCCTATCTTTCTAAGCAGCATTGCCTTTTTCCAAGACTCTCTTATCAATCAAATGACACAAATCAAACTCTCCGTGTACGATGTCAAAGATAGATCTCAGGGAACAGTAAGTTTTTTTTATTCTGTTGCCTGCCCAGTCAGTGTGGAGCAAGGAAATGAGAGGCAAGTAGATAAAACTAGTAACTTTTGTGCAAGAAAGCAAAGGGGTAGCAGCACTGACCATACAGAAAACAAGCTGGGAAGGGAAAAGAGGAGCCAATACTGTAAGCCAATACTTGGCAAAGTGGGGAGCATTGCCAGTTTTCTCAAAGAAGGCTTGTCTGCAGCAAGTTTGGGAACCTTGGATTTAAATTTAAAAAGTCCTGTCGTTTGTTCTCTTATGTTGTGGACATGTTCAGTGATCTAGATAATGGAAAGGATTCAATAACCCTAACTGAGGCTTCTAGCCTGTGCCAAAATGCCATAATGAAACTGTACTTTTGAACAGAGCTGCTAAATTCCAGAAATCACCCTGCCTTGATACTTTAGTGATTTTGTTCAGGGCTAAAATTTGTTCCCTTACTGAAAAAAGTTTAATTGACAGTGCTCCCATACTACTACTTGGTTCTGTGGGCAACTGAGACCATTTATTCTCAGACTGTTGTTCAGAATACTGTTTCAGGCCCCATCTGTCTGCTCTTCTATGGCCTCCAGGGACAGCAGAGCTGTCTCTCTCTGTCCAGTGCTTCATGGGGAGGCTCTGGGGAAAACAAATACCTCCAGAGGAGGTAGGTTCATCAGGAGGAGCTGAGTTTGGGTCAGGGAGGGACTGTGAAGTGTTCACCAAGTCAGTCTGAGCCCTGTTCAGTCGTTACTTTCAGTGTTCCTGTATTGCTGGGCCTAAGCGTGTATATATTAAGGTGCCTCTGCTCATATCCTAGAGAAAGAAAAATGCTTTAAGTGCTCCAGTATAAAAAGGATTTTTATTAATTACCAAATTTATGACATTTCAAGGGGTTTTAATTAGTTGTGTATCGGCATATATAATCTTATTTTTGTTCTTGGACTTTTGTGCCTAATAATTGTATTTTGGGCTTAAGTTGTGGACAAAACCTTTATTTATAGTGAAGGTAAATAATTACAGTTCTGGTACTCATTTTCTTTCAGATGTATTTGTTGGGTTCTGGGACGTTCACTGTAAAAGATCTTCTTCAGGAGAAGTATCACAGATTGCACATAACACTAAGGTTTGTAATATTCTTCTCCATTCAGGAATGAATTCTTAATTCTTGAAAGCATGCCTAAGATGTGATGAAAACCTTTTATTTGGTTAGGTTTTTAGTTCCAGGCCACTACTACAGGAAAACTACTTTATATTGCATAATAATTAAAGCATGCAGAACAAGACCTTTCTAGTGTGGTGAGTAGTGGTAGATATTGTTTATATTGATTCTGTTGGTTCTACAAGTCAAGAAAGTATTGTCAAGACCAATTTAATGTTTGTGCATTTCCATCTGTCACCTCGGTGTTTGAGTCCATGAAGAGTGGCAGAATATTTTTTTAACTGTATTGATGTATAAAGAGCCTCTGATGGGAAGAAGGAAACCCATTGAAACAGTTACCTTAGCTGTTTGGAATACCTTGGCTTAGATAAAACATAGAATAATGGAACCATACAATGGTTTGGGTTGGAAGGGACCTTAAAGACCATCTAGTTCCACTCCATTGCCATGGGCAGGGACACCTTTCACTAGACCAGATTGCTCAAAGCCCCATCCAGCCTGGTCTTGAGCACTTCCACAGAGGGGGCATCCACAACTTCTGTGGGCAACCTGTTCTTGGTGCCTCACCATAGTGAAGAATTTCTTTCTAATTTCGAAGCTAAATCTGCCTTCTTTCAGTTTAAAGTGAAATCTAGGCTCTATTTACTATTTCAACACCTACCTGTCGCTAAATTGCATATTAGTTGTTAAATAGTGTATTTATCAATATAATGCATTAGGAATAGGAGGAGTCAGAGTACGGCATCATCGATTGATGTTTTTTTCTAGTTTAGTTCATACAGGAAACTTTTGAGGAAAGAACATTACTCAAGAGAGAATGAAAAAGAAGGTGTGAGTCTAATACCAATCCTTAAGGCAGTCATTCTAATCATAGGAATCAAACCACACTCTTGAAAGCCAGTATGGGACAAAGTTGAGGATTGGAGACGAATTAATAAGGCAAAGTAAAATTAAGAAAAAGAGTTCTGATGTGTAAATGCACATTACAGTAGTTTGTGTTGAAAGTAGAACAGGCATCCTTGTCAGAGAAGGCAAGGGTAAGTCAACTGAAGGAGGAAAGCATAACCAGAAACACAAAAGAAGATTATGTTAGTAGTATTGGCATAAGCAGCACTAGAAACTATGACTGTGATAAACTTGAGGAAATTTCTTAGCCCAGACACCACTAACACAATACAGGCAAAACATATTATGCTGTGAGAAGAAATGGGTAAGATTTTTGTCTTTTCCACAGTTTGTTATAAAGAAAGCAAATTACATGATTTCACTATGGGAGTAGATGACGGAAATGAGTCAGAAAAGGCACCAAAAGTATGACACTGATGCTGGATAAAATAATCTATCATAGCTATGAAGGGGAGGGTGTTTTGAGGGAGATGAATGTGATTGCAGGAAGTTCATACTTGTGTGTTACACATGGTTCTTAAGTTGAAAATGGACTTTATTAACTGTCTTGTTTTGATACCAAGTATATTCTGATTATCTAAATGTGTGAATGCATGCATTTCTTTCCATTGTCATGTTACCCTCAGATGTGTAAACTGGGCACAGTGCAGTGTATATAAAAATGCTGTATGATTATAATACTTGAACCTTTTCTTGTAGTCATCCTGTGTGCCTACAAGGCAAAAGTGTGCCTACTTTTACCTCCCCAGTACTATCTGTTCCAGCAACTTTTGGTTTTTTGGTCTTTGTTGTTTACATGCCAAAATATGCTGGAACAACTATGTTAAAATACCATTTAGGCTCCTAAAATAATAACATAATGTCTCTGCCAAAATTACTTTGTCGCAGGTGAAACAGAATAAATGACATCCATGATAGATCTGGGTTCTACTGTGTATTTTAAACACAGCAAGATTAGGGCTTTTCTCCTGCTTTTCTCTGTCTCTGACTCACTCACTTTTCTTGCTGCCTGTTCAGTAATGTGTGCATATCTTGTCAGCTGCCCACCCCAGCAGGGAGATGGCTTCTGCTCCGGGAAGGTGGGACAGAAAGTTGTGTCAGTTCCTGCTGTGCAACTGCTCTCCTGTTAATAACCTGTCTCAGCAGTTAGTGGCCAGATCCCTGGGGATCTCTAGTAGTTGTTTCCACGCCACTCCCTGTTGTCTAGGATCTTTCTCTGCCTCAAGGATCTTACCTTCATTGAGAATGTTCACCTTCTTCTTTCCTAGACCACTTATTTTCAGGATCCTTCTTTATAGCATCCGTTTTCCTTTCTGGAATGTCAAGTCCCCAGCTTTCCCAATCTAAACAGCTTCTCTGCAGATGCACAAGATGTGATCAACCTCCTAACTGGTGACCTTGACTGGCTGAGGAAGATTTGGGATGTACTACTTCTGTTTAGCCTGCATATAATCAAAATTTAGCAGTTGAAAGTCTGCCAGTTGGAGTTAAACTGTACAATTAAGAGTTCAGAGTTTGGTTCCAGACATTGAAATGCACAGGCAACACACAAGTGTGCATGTACATCCAATTTTTTTGCTCCACAGTAATGTTCACAATTTAAGCTGCTTTTGCCTAATTGTGAAATCTGAGCTCTTTCTGGTTTTACAGGAGCATTGAAACACATATGTGGGTTTAGGTTGCCTTCAACTAGGAGTTCTAGTACCCCATCCCTGCAGAATGAGGGGAATGGTCTCCTTTTGGAATAACCCATTAAAAAATTATGCCAAATGAAGTTGAAAAGCTTCCTATTTAAAATGTTCATTAACTTTGAAGATAAGTAGCCTTTTATAAGTGTTCCCTTGTTGATAAACAGGTCCACCTCCAAAAAAATCTCAACGCAGAGTGTTTGTTGCAGGTCGGCTGAAAGTGACCGTGTAGGTAACATCACAGTTATTGGATGGCAAATGGAGGAAAAATCTGACCAAAGGCCTCCTGTGACAAGGTCACCTGATACAATTAATGGAAGGGTGAGTATGAGCATTGTGTCAAATTCAGAAGAATGCAGCCTTATTGCCAGCATTAAAATAAACCAGGCTGACGCCTGCTGTCAACTTTCCTGTCCATCTTGATATTTAGTAGTGGTTTACATTTTCAAAATTCTGTAAAAAGCAGCCTAATGGTGTTGAAGCCATTTTGTGTTTTGCAGAACTCTTGGGGTGCTCATGTTTCAGGTTAAAGTCTTGAGGCAAATTTTAGTTTACAGTGATTAAACTTTCACTTCAAGTGCCCATGTCCTTCATCAGAAGAGGCTCGTGGTATTGTTACAGGTTACTTGAGTGCTGAATGTATTATCCTCATCCACAAATATATATTTGAGAGCAGATATTTGCAGCACTTTTTCAGCCTAGACATATGTTTAATTCTGTAAACCTTTGTGTTCTGAGTATCTTGGTGATAATTGCAGTGGTATTTATGTATTGCAGTTACAATGTGGAGTAGTATTACTGCGTATCCATCCAGACCTGTAGGTACCACATTCTGATACCTTTAAGGACTCTGGAGCTGTGCTGAAAGAACGTAGTTGAATAGCTGGGTGAAAATCTATGGCATTTTGAACTGTGCAGTAGAAGTAAATAGAAATGCTCAGGATTTATTATTTCAGCCAGCAGTATTTTTTGTCCACAGTAAACATATTTTGAATATTTATTTAAAGCACATGTTGTGTCAAATATTTCTTTGAAGTCTGTGTGATAGGGTTATCACTGCTATATTGCCCAGGCACTGAGGTTTTATTCTGTACTTATTCTGTTTTTTGTTTTTGTTTAGACTGTATTGCCAGTTGATGAAAGTTTAACGGAATCTTTAGGAATCAGATCTAAATATGCTTCACTAAGGAAAGATGCACTACTGAAATCTGGTAAGCTGCTGTGGGCTATAACGAGTAAGCTTTAGGCATCAAAAAGCTTATCTTTCCCTGTCTGCCTTGTGGCCCCAGGGCATTTCAGCAGATGTTTAATTTGAATAGGATCAGGTTGCTGATTGAGCAGTCCTTTGAGGGTCATACAAGAATAAATTATTTTGTCGTTTGCACTATTTTTTATTGTAAAAACAACAGAAGCAAACTTTTGCCAGTAAGTTGACTGTAAGCGACCATTGGGGTTGAGGAGAGATACAGAGGAAAGCAAGTTCTTTTAAAAAAATATTCTTCAGGAAGGTTAATTTCCCAGCAATGATTGCATGAGAGGAAAATGCAAGGTACATAGATGAAAAAAAAAAGTATTTTAAAAATTGAGTATGTATTTCATTTGTTTAATTTCCTTACCCATGTTTTAAGTCATTTGGAGTGGAGGCTTTTCCTGCAAACACTAGAAGAGTGGTCATTGCAGAATGGCCGTGCTTGGAAAACCTAGACTGATGCCTGGATAAAGCAGATCATTACAGCAGTGTGTTACAGCATATTAATGAACCAAAGCCATTTACTTTAAAAAAGAAGTGACTCTGTACACTTTTAACTCAAACCCTATGCTTAAATAACATGATTTTAATTCTTTAGTGTTTGGTGGTGCCATTTGCCGAATGTATCGTTTCCCAACCACTGATGGAAATCACTTAAGAATCTTGGAGCAGATGGCTGAGAGCATCCTGTCGCTGCACATCCCTAGACAATTTGTGAAGCTGCTTCTAGAAGAAGATGCAGCAAGGTGAGTTTGGAATGGTTAACATGTGCAGTAATACAGCAGTGACATACCTGTTAGTGACTTACAAAGGAATATATCTGTGTTAATGGACAGAGGCACTGAAGAAAAATTAGTAAAGTCAGCACGTTGTTGACTGTACAGTGACAGTGAATAAAACTTCACATTTTTGGGCTTGAATGTACAGTAATGTGAACATACAGAGGTGCTGATAGGAGAGTGAACACATAATGAACACTTAGGATCGTACTGCAGTTGCTTCATTTGGGGGTATGTGTTCTTCTCACAAAAGTATTCAAAGGAATATATCATTCCATAGTTGTATGACTATATTAGGACCTGCACATTAAAATATGTTGTAATGCACATTAAAATATGTAATAATTTATATACTTCAATACACTTTGTTTTTTTAACATGGTTTATTTTTAATCTAAAGAGAAAAATGAAGTTGAATTAAAAATCTATCTCAATTTTTCATAGTTGTAGGCAAAAGTGAATAAATGAGACAGCATAAATGAAAGTGTAATAACTCCAGCTGCTGAGGATTTTGAGAAAGGAACAGAGACAACAGAGAAACTAACTGACTAGAATGAGTAATTAGAATAGCAGAGAAGAAAAATCCAAATCGCTTTGAAGGAGAACAGAATAAAAGCAAGTAAAGTAAGACACTGTAAGACAGTAATGACATTGTCTCATTTTAGGAGGTGGGAGGGAGAAGGAAATCTGTTAAGCATTTTGTAGGTTCATTATGAATTTTCTTTTTTTTGAAGCAATTAACTCTCTTCCAGGCAACATATTCATTTATGACTTCTACTTCCCTACATTTGTAGGCTGTGGTTTGCAAATCTAATGGTTTGTGTATTCTTTATAAAGGCCAAGATTGGAATGTTAAGGAATTTTAGCTGTAATTTTTACTGTTGAGCTTTTATTTTGACTGTGTTTGAATCCACTCCTAGAGACCCAACTAAACATGACCTGAATTAAAACTATGTAGTGCTCTCATTATTGTATATTAAGACATTTTAGTTCTTTTAGAATATTTTGAAAGAAAATCATGGGTTAATCCATTCATTTCAGGTATTTTCGTATTTTGTGAAAATTATAAACTCTCACAGGAAGATGACAGAGACTTGTTGTAATGCATGGGAAAACTAATTTTTTTTTTTTTTGCTGTTGAGTTTTGGTTTTTAGTGACATGCACTTAGATTCTAGAGAATGAATGTATCTTGTCCAACTGTCCTTCTACAACCTTGCTTGAGCAGCCTAGGGATATGCCATTGCACATTTAGATACGGTTTATTTGATTTTTATTTTATATCTTTGTTTCTCTGCAGCTTTTCTCACAGTAGGTTTAAAAATACCTATTCATTAGGAGGTACAACCTTAACAATATGAAGAGTTGCCAAGCTTATCTATGTGGATGTAATTGAAGGATTTGAAGACAAGTAGAGGAGAATTTAGGGTGAATGAAGGAAAAGATGTGGCTTTCTGTAAGACTGTAGGCAGGGGAGTTTGTTTAGGCCTTAGCCACGAAATGTGACTGTTCAGAGGCTCTTGCTAAAATCATACAGAGATCGGTGGGTGCCTGTTGTATACAGCTATGGGTTAATAACAACCCACGTGATTGTTAGAACCACTTAGTACACTCTGAATTGTGTGGGTTAAAGGTAAGTACTGCTTTTGTGTAATTACCCAGAAAGACTTCCTTCTCTCTGCTCAATTGAGGTGACCCTCAGTGATTTGCACAAACACACTTTGTATTCATAGGATCTCTCACAATTGGCTGAGCTCCATTCTCTGTGCTGCAGGCCAGAGGAATGACAGGCAGCTACACAAGCACAGCTGCTTCTGTCTTAACATCCTGGAGACCTATAAAATGTCCTTGGATAATCACAACTGCTGTCTCTTACTAAAACTCTTCTGGGCCAGAACTCTTTGAAAGAAAACATCTACCTGGGGTGGGGAATATTTTGTAAACTGCTGGATCCTTTTGATTGTTCTGTCCTTTCTGGGGTAAGGTACTGTTGAATTGTGTCTGGTGTTGACTTGTTTACTTTTCCCCTTCTTCCTTTATTCCAATTAATATCTTAATTCAAGAAGACAGTAATACAAACATGACATGAAATACACTTAGTATTTTCTCAGCAACACCATTGGGGAACAGTATGTAATTCAGGATTGCCGTGTATGATGGAAAACTTAGCAGTCAGGGTGCAAGGGGAAAGCCAGGGTTTTTCCTGCTCATGTCCAGTCATCCATTATTCTGCCTACAGGGAAACTTGAGTGCCAAAATCCTGAATCTCAGGTGAAGGTTTTGTTGATTCATCTTTTGTCTCTCCAAACCCTTATTAATGCTTACACTTCTTAGACCTTCCCTGGTCTTGCAAACTGTTGTGTAGATACACAGCCAACGCAGATACACCTTGTACCTACCATCAGTTAGGTGCTAACATCCCACCTAACCTCTGCCACGGTTCTAATTTAGTTTAAGAGCCACCACAATTCAGTGGAGTGGCCTTAAAAGGTCCTCATTGTCCCAAGTCATGATGACAGTTCCCATAATTTGCAAATCCTCATGTAGTTTGAAAGTTCTTAGAGAAAAGTGGGAAGCTTTGCTTTTGACCAACACCTAAGGCCTCTAGAAGTAACAGTGTATTTTGCCTGTGTGGAACCAATGTACCTTGGAGTAGAGCTCAACAGCTGTGCTTCAGGTTGTACGTTTGGGAGCATTCCCAGTCTGGTGTATAGGTTACATCACAGTAAATTTGGAGTGTGTCTGCTGAGGATGATGCTCCATTGATACAATGTGAAACTCATTCTCGGTCAAGTGGACTATGGACATAAACACCTCTCTTTCTTCTTCTTTTTTTTTTTTTTTCCCTAGGGTTTGTGAACTAGAGGAATTAGGAGAACTGTCTCCTTGTTGGGAAAGCCTTCGCCGACAAATAGTTACTCAGTACCAAACAATTATTTTAACTTATCAGGAAAATCTAACTGACCTGCACCAGTATAAAGGTGAATTTTTTCATAATAACGTGATTCTTCTCGAACAGGTTTGGTAGTGTTTCTCTGAAATTGGGAACCCAGAATGTTTTAGTTTGATAAGTAAGAAATGCTATTATTGTATTTCTTGTCTTTATTAACATTTATTGTGAGTTTGCTGATTATCTGGCAATATTCATCTGCTCCATTCTCTTATCTTACCCTGAAAGTAGAGAACAAGCATGAACAGTAATAGGAAGAATTTGTTTCAGTATTTTTTAAATTTTCTCTGCTTTTCAGCACATAGCAGATAATGAATGAAGCTTCTTGAATGTTTTAGTGTAGGCACAAGGAGAGGGTTTTGTCCTTACTTTTCTCCTGCATTTCTCAGGTCCTTCATTTAAAGCCAGTAGCTTGAAAGCTGATAAAAAATTGGAATTTGTTCCTACGAATTTACATATACAGAGAATGAGAGTCCAGGATGATGGAGGATCAGGTATTTGTTTCTTTCTCTCCTTCTTCAACTTATCCTGTTACTTTTCTTTAAGTTTTTTTTATTTCCATCCTCAACCATACAGCCAAGTTTCTACAAAATGCTGTACTAGCCTCAGAGTCCAAATCTCTTTTCAGAAGAAGAAGTGTAAGTATAAATATTAGAATTCTGCAGGTGGCAAAACTACGTTCTGGAGTTAACTGTGCCCTAGGTGGCACAAGTTAGCCTTTGTACTAGGATTTGGTTAAGATGCTGTGTCCCTTCCATTTTTTATTGTAGCAGAATAGCAAAGGTTCTGACTGTTGTTTGTTGTTAAGCTGGTGAGCTTTCTCTCTCTATTAACGATTATATATGGTTATGCAAAATCACATGTGTGTTTTCACATCAAACTTGTTTCTTCATTAGTAACCTAGGTTTTCCCTTCTTTTACCAGTAATTCCCACTAACTGTGGGCACACAGTTTTCCCATGTGAGGGATTACAGTAATGACAGGTTTTGTGTAGAGACCAATGTTCAAGACTTCTTTTTCACTGGGAGTCTTCTAGGTTAAGAAACAAGGAGACCTGTGTTCACGTATTGGTCTTTCACTTCAAAAGGTACTTGATGGATTTCTAGGGCCTCTAGAACAATTCAGTTTTCTATGTTCTTCAAAACACTGGCACAAAGTTTTCCAGAAATTATTTTAAGAGTAGTTTTTGAACTTCCACAGTTGTTGAACCACATTAAAGATGACAAGCTTTCATTTGTAAGTTGTTTTTGTCCATCCCAGATCAGAACTACGACATAGTCACCATAGGAGCACCAGCAGCTCATTGTCAAGGCTTTAAATCAGGTGGCTTGCGGAAGAAACTGCATAAATTTGAAGAGGCAAAGAAACAGTAAGTAGAAATATTGTTTTGTCTGGTGTTATTGTGCCTTTTCCTTCTGTTCCATTATCAGTGATTTGGAAAATCACTCCATTCTATGTTTTTCTTGCATTTCATTTAATAGTTCTAGTATAAAATATGAAGATTTTTCAATTTGGTTTTTTTTTCTGAAGAAGAGGGAAAACAGTTTCCCCTTTATATTACTGTATTTATTTGTTTACCAATGGGCCCTTTCCAATAGTCTTTTTATGAAGTCTTTAATTTTCCTGAGTAATTGTTGATTCATTTAGTTTAGCTATTTTTAGGTGCTGGGTTTGGGCTCTGCCTAGTTGTGGATTAGAACATTTATCTGTAGAACCTCCTCAGCTGCACTACATCGTGCTTTCAACCCATTATTTTCAGTAGACATTCACCTCTCTCATAATTTCAAGGTCATGTTCCTGAGCTCTCTTTAGTAGGAAACAGCTGTGTCTAATTGGTAAATTCCTTGTTGACAAAGTGGGTTTAGTTCTGGGACTATTGCTTGAGGCCTTTCTGCTTTGCCTAAAGTTTTATGCACAGATTAGGCTTCTGAATCTGACCTCTGTTCTACAAGCAGGATACTTGACCTCCACAGTCCTGTCTTCAGGGACTTCAGTGACCTCTCTGGAAGTACAGCCGTATGTACTAGAGGAAGATGCAGGAATTGGGAAGGTCACATATGCTAAAGGGAGGAACACACATGGCACCCACTCCATCTCTCAAGGAAGAGATATTGATGTATGGGTCTGCTTTATGAGAGCAGCAGGACAAGGAGTCACTGTAGCTTCAGAAGGGAGACCTTGATCATGCCCTTCCGAAGAAAGGATTAGTAGGATTTGGAGCTGATAGCAGGAGGCAGGGACGTGGGAACCAGGCTCTGCGAACTGCAGAAGTAATTTTGGCAGTAGAGAAGTGAGTAACAGCATCCTGTGAACATCAGCCAGATACGTACTGATAAAAGGATTGGTGCAAAAATAGGCCTAATGTAGTCTATTCCAAGCTTCCAGAGTGCGCACTGGGATAGGAATGGAGGAAACTGTAAACCTGGAAACACTGGTATGCTAGGCTCACCCTTTCTGTTCTTTTGATACCACTATTGCTTTCTGAAATAACCACCTCCTGTCATCCTAGCCACTGAAGTGGTCCTTACTCTTGTAATATATACTCTTGTAATATACCCCACAGCTTTTTTGTTTCTTTGTTCCCCTTCACCCAATAATTAAGCTGATTAGAGACCTTAATTTCTATCCAATACTTTTCCTCTAAGCTTTTCAGAACTATTTCTTCTGGGTCCATGAAAACTGCAGGTTCAACGTTTGAAGAGTAACTTTCGTTTTAAATGCTTCCATGTTATCATAAAAGCCAATGTAGTAGAACTGAGATCCATCTCCTCAGTTTCATTGTTACATTCAACTCCTCCTCCTTTCATTGGCATAACTGTGCTTGGTGCATTCACATCATTTCCCCCAAACAACACATGGGCATCTGGCAATCTGTGTTTTTTCGCTTACGAGTTTAATCTTTATGTACCCGCCTTGTTGAAAGAATGATTCAAATAAGTTATTTCCCCAAACATACTTTGTTTTGTTTCTGCTTTTGATATTTGCTAACAATCTGCTAATTTTATTTTGGTTTTTGTTTTTGTAGCAGTTATGAGGAGTGTTGGTGAGTTTTCTGTTTCTGAGGCTTCTATAGAGAGGGTTTCTGTTGTTTGGGTTGTTTTATTTTTCTTTTCTTTGGCAAAGATCTGCTGTGTTTTGAAGTGTGCAGGGCTCTTTAATGTCATGCATCATGGCATCCCTAATCGTGCTCTAAGTAATTGTAGCTGCTTTGTAGAACATGATGTGTGAATTAATTTCATTTCATCTGCAATGTTTGTTTGTAATGAACAGCTAGCTTCCTGGCTCTCTCTGGTCATAAGAAGTTAGAAAGCTGAAAATCAGAACATAAGGATTTTATATTTTTTTCTTTGTTACTTCCAGTGAAAACTGCCTGGAACGATAAGCTTTCTGCCAGAGGTGGAAGATAATTAAGATAACTCTATGTATTTTTAAATCTCAGCAGTGATAGATTGGGCATGGTTTATATTTCTATAATCCATGTCTTCATTTAAACATTTTCACTTAACTTCTGTTTATTTTTCTCAGTGTTGGGGTATTCACTGCTGTGAAAAGGAAACATTACTTGATGGTTCAACAAGGCAGAAGTTCTGCTCTAAATGACTCATATTAAGGTTGAACCCCTAATTCACTGAGAATTTAAGTCAGTGTTACAGTTTACTGATATAGTACAATGAAAGCTGTTCATTTGAAAAAGCAATTGCAGGTTGGAAAGTAAGTATATGTGAACTTTACACCATAATTTTTTCTCACAATCATCTCAGCAAGTGTCTGTGATTAAAAATATAGTAACTTTAATCAAATCTTAATATGCTGCATGACCCTTCCTGCCAAATGTGTCTTTATGCATGTTAACCATGCTGTTGTGGAAAGAAATTGCTCAGAGGAATTGTCACTAAAATCACTGGTCACTAGAGAACACAAATCATGTACAGAGAAAGTCCTAAAAGCTGAGACTTAATTTGCTGTATTGCACAGCAGTTTTGGGGAGTGGTTGTTCTCTGCTCCACTCAGGTGGGTGACCAAAGCACAAACAAGGAAACTCTTTCAAGAATCACTTCTGCACTACATCCTTTGGAAACAAATCCCTCATCTTTCTTTTTGTGATGGAGATCAGACAGATACTGGCATTAAGGTCCGCCCTTGCCTTAATATCAGTTAAGGGACAAGAATTGGGTTTTTGGCATGATTTTAAAGCATGCCCCACGCAATCCTCCTGTCTTACCTCACAGATACGCTGCAGAATTTAATGGCATTGCTCTAAGGGTAGCAGAGGAATTCACACTTCTTGGAGGCCGTGATCTGTAGTAACTGTGCCTGGAAAAGAAACGCCTCTCTGTGTAGTCTCTCAGCATGGCCCTGTCCATTGAACAGTGCTGAGATTGGTGCAAACAGTAGGTTCTTCCATGCTGTTACTATGCTGAAGCCATTCATGAGTGGGGAAAAATAAAATTAAGATAATATACAATTGGTGTCACCTCAGGCTTGATGCCACGTTGTGAATGGGCATCGCACTTGTCACAGCTGGAGCTGATGTAAAGACCTGGTCTTTGGATACCTTTCCTATTGAGAAGAAAAAAGCCAACATATTGCTTGACAAAGGGAGTATAGTGATCAGTTGGTTCTAAATAACTAAGAGCACAGTTTCAGCCTAAAGTAATTTTCTAAGCTGAAAGGCAGCTTTTGTGAATGGCTTTTCTCAGGTAGGATTAAATCACCCTTTGGAAGTGCTGTTCTCTCTCCAGTAGTTACAGAACATCTGTCTTGTACTGGATAAGCAACTTCTGTAGACATCTAAACGTAAAAGGACATAAACTATTCTCCACTGCCAAGTAAGCAGTCTTAGTGGAGCTGCAGTATCCCAATATAAAGACATGTTTTACTGGTATAGTTTATTTTCCTTACTGTTTGTAAAAGGCTAAAACTTGATACTGCTTGATATTGTCACAGATGAGTTTACAATGGGGAGAGTTGTATCATGTCCCTAGTTTAGTATATTAAGTGTGTGCAAGCAGAAGCTAGACCAAGGACAGTGTCCTTGGATTAGCCTGAAGATACACTTTGGTTTTTTACATATCATAAAATTGCTTTTACTGGTGTAATTTGATTTAGGCCTGCAATAGAGGAAAGTATATACTAGGATTTTTTTTTAATACCACAGTGTTTGCACTATGGATCTCATGGCATTTCTCTGTTAGAAGGAATGCAAATTTTCTTTTCATGGTGCTATTAGCTATGTGATAAAACAGGTTTGTAAACCAGACCTTAGTGAAGTATCTGTGTAGTAAGGAGAGGGAGAAGGGGGCAACCTGTCTCTGCAAACAGTGGTTCTGTATCTGATGGCAAAATCTGTCACCCATATTCTCCTCAGCAAAACTGTCCCTCTGATATACAAACTCTGCCCACATCCCCTTGGCATAAATGATTAGTAAATCTGCATCTGAATGCTTTCAGTAAAGGCAGAGAAGGCTCTAGGATCATGTTCCTGCTGTGCAATTGCCCACTGGCCTTTCACTGTTAATCGCTAGCTTAGGTAAACTTTTGTTGTCTGCCATTAATTCCCCAGCATGCCACTGTAATATGCATACCTTTAGATCAATTCTCCCCCTAAAATCAGTCTTTCTTTTTCAGCACTTCAACAAGTTCCCAGTCTATAATATACATCCCACAGGACATTGTTAGAGCAAAGGAAATTATTGCACAAATCAACACCCTGAAAACGCAAGTCAGTTACTATGCAGAAAGGCTCTCAAGAGCTGCCAAGGATAGATCAGCTAATGGCCTTGAAAGAACACTTGCTATCCTGGCAGACAAGGTAGGAGAGTAATTCATTTCCCCACTGAAGCACAGTTTATTTTTTTTTTCTGTCTTTAGTAGGATTTCTTAAAATATCTATTTTGCCTTGTTCAGTAGCGTGTTGTAACATGTACAGTCCTAAAGAAAAAAAGTGAGATCAACCTTTAAAATTTCCTGCTTTTGTTTAGTCTGTCTCCTACTTTTCACACTCTTGCCTTCACCTCCTCTTGAGAGTGCAGTGGAGAGCAATGTCCTCCGATTCTCTCTATTCATTCATCATATTCCAGTAATGTGCATTCTTCACTTTCTTTTATATCCTTTTCTCCATAACCACCTGGGATGTTTTAATGCTCTGAGTCATCTGTCAAGCAGCAGCAACTGTGCAAAAGTTAGTGAAACAATTCTGTATTTTTCCACTGGTGAAATAAGGAATAATGATGACACAGCCTTTGCTCAAATTATAGAGATGTAAACCAGTTATTTCTTGATGTGTGCTAACAAAAACCAGACTGGACCCAGAGCTGAACACAATCTTACAGGGAGAAAAACCCCAAATACAGTTTTACTGACCCCTTCTGTCCTTGAGGCGGATCTGAAGGTTGCAAACAGCAGCAGTGGCCAGTCAGCTTACCATAAATTGTCCTGGTGGAGGTGATATACATGCAACTTTGTAGAATGCAAAAAATAATGTGACCTCATGTGAATGTATTATTTATTCACTCTGAGTACAGTGGTGGGTATAACTGATCTGTGGGATTTTCTACAGCTGGATAATGTGTATATATAATGTAGTAAAGTCTTGTTTGTTGTTTTTTTTAATAGACACACAAGCCACATAGTTTTCATATTCATATAATTTATAGAAATTCTTTAATACACCACCACTAAATAAGATAGGGAACAGGTTGCATTAATTAGTGGGTTTACCTTCAGCCCTCTTCTTAGGTGTTGTTATGATTCCAGATGCGATGATGGAAGTGAAGCTTGGTCTCTCTGGTGTGGCAACTCTTGAATGGGGTATAAAAATCATATAATCATAGAATATACTGAGTTGGAAGGGACCCATCAGGGTCACCAAGTCTAACTCCCAGCCCTGTGCAGGACACCCCAAGAGTCACACCACGTGCCCAAGAGTATTGTCCAAATTTGTCTTGAACTCTGTCAGGCTTGGTGCTGTGACCATTCCCTGTGGAACCTGTACCAGTGCCCAGACACTGGACATGTGTCTGCACGTTGTTCTAAGCTTTCATCAAATGGAGAGTGAAGTGCAAATAAAGGCAAACTGCACATTCCTTAGTGAAATTTTCAACAATTGCAAGGCTAATGTAGTAATACACACTTTGAAAATGCACCATTTGTGTTTTGGGATCCTATTCTGTGTTTTAAGGACATTCTGTAAAATTTTTCTAAAAGTGCCATAAAGCAATAGTTTCTTTTACAGAATACTAGTCATTTTTTTCTTTCTGTGAAAAAATACAGTATAAATTGTTTATGGAATAATAAAAGGTTTTTGAAATGTGACTGTTTTATTGCTTTTTAGACCCGGCAACTTGTCACAGTGTGTGACTGCAAGCTGTTGGCAAATTCAATACATGGACTGAATGCTGCAAGGCCAGACTATATAGCTTCAAAAGCATCTCCAACCTCTGGAGAAGGGGAACAAGTCATGCTGAGGAATGATCAAGATACACTTGTGGCCAGATGGACAGGAAGAAATAGCCGATCTTCTCTGCAGGTGGATTGGCATGAAGAGGAATGGGTATGTTTCCTTAGTGGAGTGATGAATACTTTCTTCTTCTTACTTGTGTTTTCTGTGTTCTTTTTTGACAAGCTCTGTAGCTGCTCGCCAGATATACATAGGATCAGTATTTAGGAGACTGGTCAATTAGGAAAAAAGTTGCCTCTATCCTATGCTCAGTTACTCCTTGGCATGGGAATATGAACAGGCCTCAATAAATATTTCTGGGTCTCCTAAAACAGCAGAAATTGTTACAGCGGGTGCATAGCTTCTTTGAGATCAGTTCCAAGGGAAAGTAAATAGCTTTTAAAGTAAAAAACTGACCACATACTACAACGGGCTTTTGCACTTCTCCAAAATAAGGTGTATTTTGTGTGTTAGCTATACAAGTCAGCCTTCCTATTTTTATTCTCGTCTAACTATTTAGAACGTGCAGTCTCTCACTGTTCTGATTATGAACAGCATTTTAAAACTATTTGCACAAAGTATTCAAATGGTTTCCTTACCACCCTGCCAATCAAAATGAGAGTTGGACTGTGTAAATTCTATCACTGTGAAATATAAACAGAAATTAATTAAATCTCACAAATAGTTAGGATTAATTAAAACAATTATGAATATTCCTAAATACCAATTTTTTAAAAGATCCAATTCATTTTGGAAATAGTTCCTTGCTAGTTTCAATTATTTTGGCATACTTTGACTTACAGTCAAAGTCACAATAATGAGATACAAATAAAGCTAATTCAGTTATTTAGACAGTATTATAATACAGTAATTTTATCTGTTGTTCACTGAGTTATATAGAAAAAAAGATGTGTGATTGTATACAATTATTACGTCAAACACGAATTTCAAGAATAAACAATAGTGCCAGTTGGAAATTGGAATAACATTGCAGGAAGAGGCACTTAAAATTGTTTGGCAAATTAACTTAGAAAATAGCTTCTCAATTTAGCACATAAGTCATGTCACTACATACTGTAGGCATGCTGGTATGCATTATGTATCCATAATTTGTGTGTGCACAGGGGTAACCATGATAGGCCAGAGGAAATTTTCAGAGGAATTGTGACTAGAATCACGGGAGGAAATATACTGGCAAGGGATTTGTTACCCAATGTCTCTTTTCTTTTTAAATGGAGAAGGAAATGTTTTCTTTTAAGGAGAAAGTTTGGTTGAATGTCGACAAAAGCCTGGAGTGTATTATACAGAGAGTGGACAAACTTCTCCAGAAGGAGCGCTTGCAAAGTGACAGCTGTGAAGATGTTTTCCAGTGTGACGTCAGCAGTACTAGTAAGAAAGGTAATCGGGACACTCGTGCCTACTGGATAAATCCAGAAGATTTAAATGAGACCTCATCCTCCTCACCACCTTCATCATCCTCTCCACCATCTTCATCCACACCATCCTGTGCATGCCATTCCCTCAGAAAGACAAGTGCGTATGCCAGACTCTGCTTCTCACTGCTGCTCTCCTCCTGTGCGCTGGCATAATTCCTAAGCCTCCCTTACATCCCTCCATGTGTTTTTAGTTCAGTGGTGGTGTTAAGCAGTGATGTCAGGCAGAAAGGGCTCTCGGTGTGCTGGGCGCGCTAAGCCCATTACTTATTTTCACGTAAGTGGTCTCAGTGAAATCATTGCCAAATCCATTGATGACCGTGGCATTTGGTTTTCACTCCGGGTGTTCTAAGCTGGTAAAACAGCTGTTTGGGTTAGCACATGTCAAACACCACCTCTAGCAGCTTTCCTGTTGGCTTCAGCTTCTTTGCAGCAATCAAAACTTATTACAGTGAACCTCTTTAAAAGATAAATAGAACATGAGAGAAGTGCAGGCCCTACTGCAGAAGTGATGGTCCCAGCTGGGCTGCCAAAGCATGGGAGGAAGCCAAGTAGTCCCATTAGATTGAGTTGAATTTAGATTAACTTACTGGATTTCAAAGAAAATTTTAACGAAAATTGTCAAGAGCTGTGTTGCTGAGGCACTCGATTATTTAGACTTCTTGTAGCTGGAAGGTAGGAATTGGCAGTGCAAGCTCTCAGTGGAATAAACCAATCTAAATTTGAGCTAAAAGTGGGTGCTGGATTGAACCCAGCATAAGGTGGTGAACATGTGAATGAAAAATGTCTTTATCAATTTAGATTGACATTTTTGCAGCTGTGCATTAAATTTCGTAATTATTTAATCTACTTATATATTTGTTTGACTTATTCTCAAATTCTTTACATGTGATCTCTATGATTTGGGCACTTAATAGAGCAGGTGGGCAAAGTAAAGCTTTAGAAAGATTGATTTGTGTTTTCATTTCCTTTTCCTGTTCTGTCTTATCGTTTGATGGCCCTTTGTCCCTTATGTGTGAATGTGACTTCATGTCCATCCCATTGTTAGTGTTGCAGTGCAAGGCAGTACCTTAAGAAAAAGAAAGCAAAAAGGAAGTTAAAATAAATATTAATATATTTTTTGTAGCTTTGTACATGATACATATAGTTTGTTTAGTCTCTTAGAAGACCATTTTTTCTAGATTATACTGACATATTTGTGTATTATAAAGGAATAGGAGAGTTGGTTCTTTCAGATTCTTTCAGGTTCTTTCAGTCAATCTTTGACTAAATTTTTCTACCAGTTTGATACCTGTAAATGTTTTTATTTGCTCGTTAGTTTATATAAAGTTTTATATGTATTTACGTGAAAGTTTAATAAATAACCTTTAATGTTCATGTCAGTGATTAAAAGTTGTGGATTTTAAATTTAAATATTAAAAAGAATAGGAATAATCTGTGATGGGTGATATCAGAAGCTTTTTCTAAGAGAATTTGATGGTGAAAACATCTTAGAACAATAATTTTCTTTCATTTTCAGTGGATATTTTAATTCTACTCTGAGTCTTGACACTTAGACTGTATGAAAGTGGAATTGGCTGCATGTACCTACCAAAGGTTTTGTTATGCAAAGAATTTCTTTAACCTTTCCCTTCTGTTCATCCAAAACAGGCAAAAAAATCTTTCTATTTAATTGACAGAATCTGCGACAGAAACATTAAATCAAGAAGTGTAGCCCGTTTTAAGGCTAAGGAACTTGCTGCCATTTCCCAGTGCTGCCTAATTGTTAGGAATCTCTGAAGTCTGACTGTCAACCAATGTTGAGTGAATTTAACTTAAAAAATCCCCAAAGAGGGAATCCTGTTTCTTAGGTATCTATCTGGTGCAAATATTGTTCATAAGTCTTAATGAGCAATCTGAGTACTTGATCACATTCTCATCAGATGTAGTTCCTAATTAATGCTCAGTATTTTTGATGGAGGAACAGGTTCAATACTATGAAAAAAAAAAATCACTGGGAATTTTTCCATTGAGTTATTCTCCTTGACTCCAAACCTAACCTGATAAATGGTTTTAAACTAAAGGAGGGTTGATTTAGACTAGTTATAAGAAATAACTTTCTTTTACGATGAGGATGGCAAAACACTGGCACCAGTTGCCCAGAGAGGTGTCAGATGCCCCATCCCTGCAAACATTCAAAGTCAGATTGGATAAGGGTGTGAGCAACCTATCTAGTGGAAGATGTCCCTGCTTACTGCAGGGGTAGTTGGACAGTTTGATCCTCCCACTGAAGTGAGTGTGGAATACTCACAGGCTTCACCAGTGAGGTTTCAGCTGTTAATATACAATCTATTGCTTGTGTTAACTATCTCAGAAATTGTGTAACAGAATTTTGACTAAGGTAGCAAAGTACAGTTTCTTTATTACTCTTGCAATGTGGGTGCCTTAATGTCCTTTTCTGTTAAGTGCATTGAACTTACTGCTAGTCTTCTGCTCTTCTGTTTAGCAGCCTTACTGCCAGCTTTTTCTATAATTGCAGTAAACCAGTGGTTCTCAAATTGTGCCCTGTGGATCACTGGAGATTGACAGGTAATCCACAGCGAGCTTGCAGGTACTGGCTTTCCTCCAAGTCCCCATCTAGGTGATCCTCTGATCAGAAACGATGGACCAGTGGAGGAGACAGCCCATGCTCTTGGTGCCTGCAGGCAACCGAGTATTTCTGCTGAGCTCCTCTTCACTCAGTGAAAGTGTTTGAGAACCCTGGCATTGAGCATTTGAGTTGCTTATATTTAGACTGTGTTGCTGCTCCTTAATCATGCATGTTGCCCCTCCATTTCTGTGCAGATTGCAGCCCCACTCCGGAAGAATCTGGCGCAGGTATGTGCATTCATGGCTTCTGCTTCTTCTGAAAATTGCAGGGGTTTCTTCACAGTTAACTGAACAAGTGCCTTGCTGTTAAGACTGACCATTCTGAAATGGTAATGCTCTGTAACACCACGTGAGTTACCTCAGCTGTTGAGAAGTTATTATTTCCTAAGAGTACAGGGGGCATATGTTAACTTCTCACGTCCAGGTATGTGAGAGCACTTGTTCATGGCCTCTTTGGTTTTCCTAGTTGATGTGTTTTAGCAGATGGATGTAGGTGACAATGGTTTGAGTCCTGTTCCAAATGTCACTGAAATCTGTGGAAGTCTGGAATCTCAGACATTTCAGGCGCACCCTTTCATATGTGCTGTTGAGCTGGCCTTTCTGAATGAGAACTTGAGCAGAACATGGAGCAGTCAAAAAGGCTGATGGAAAATCACTGATGTGGGTACACACCAAGCAGTGTTGGGCATTGCAAGTCTAATGTTTCAGAATACAAAATTTAGGTGTCTCGTCCCACTGTTAACCTTCTTTCTTCTGTCCTTGTACTTCCATACACATTTACAAGGTCTGAATATTATGCCTTTTCAATTCCGCTCTCTCCCAGATAGATGTCTGTTGTTTCTTCTATTTGAGAGTAGTTTAATCTGAGTTCAGTTAAGATTCAGTCTTTGAACTGTTACAGTGTGGGCTCCTGGGTTTAGTGTAACCAAAGGGAAATAAAGCTTCAGTGCAGTTACGATTTTCATTTTCACAAAATATATTGAAATTCTTCTCAGCTACTCACCCTGTTTCCTTCTATCACTGGGAAAATACTTTTAATCAATAAAAGACTCCACGAGTTTTTAATTCTTGGAACATCCCTTTAGAAAATATGAATGTGGTGCACAAATACAGTCAGGTCACCCCAACTTGATACCCACATACACCCAAACATGCATATTGAACTTAAGTGGCTGGAGCTGCAATGTATAATGAAGCTCTTAAGTGCCTATTTAGGTGGGTTGCTGATTAAACTTTACTAGATTAGGGATAAGTAACTACCATTTACTTTGTAAGTCTCATTTTTAGAGATCATGAGTCATTCCAGCCTTGACCTAGATAAAGGGCAACTGTGGGTGCCTGGTACTTTGATTTATGGATACTTTTTTTTTAATATGAAAAGACTAAAAATATCTTTTCAAGTCTCTGGAGGACAGCTGTTTTAATATTATTTTATTTCTCTGTATAAGAGAAATATTCTCTGTATAAGAGAAATATTTCCCCTTAGGGGGAAAAAGGCAAAAATTTTTCTCTCTCTCTCTTCTCTTCCCTCCTTCCCTCACCCCCACCCCTTTGCCCCTTCCTTCAAAATGCCACATTTGAAAATATATTTTAAGGTATGACTTTGGTCAGCAGCAATCATAAGAAAAATAGCAAAAACTTACAGGACCAAGTCTGACCCTTATTTAACAGCCAGAATTCAGCTGCAGTTGACTGAGTGGAGACTGCAGGATTTGTCTGTTCTGTACAACATAAAGTGTTTAAAGCAAATGACAGGCATGCCGATGTTTTGTGCAGTGCCAGTTTTTAAACAGAGTAACTTACAACATGACCTAGAAACCTCTGATTAAAAACCAGGATTTGTGTCCCAGACCTACCAACAGCTAGCTTGGACTAGATCTCTGGCTGTTGTATATCTATAACAACTTGTTGCATCTCCATTGTTTCAGGCCCTATGTCAAATCATCTTATCTATGATCTACTCAGTGGAGTCCATAATAGTTTTTGAAGGATCATCTCACAGAACGTAACAGCAGAGCCCAGAGTAGAGTTCATATTAGAATTAGAACCTTGTGCTGTTTGAAGGTGCCATTGATTGATTTGATAGAAAATACACTTTTAGTAATAAAGTTCTGTTAGGAAAATTAACAAGGGGAAGAGAGAAGGATAGGAGAATCCTGGTGAAAGCTGAACACTCAGCTTTCTTAATAATTCTTTCACAATTATTGAAATACTGAGAGTGAAATGTTCCGATCTGATTTGAGCCTGGGAGTGAAATTACTTTTATTCCTGTTTACTGTTAATAGCAACTACCATTGACTAAAAAATTAAAAGAACACAGGTGAAGTAGGAGGAAAAAAGCTTTTAGATTTTTGCAGATTGACAAGGGTTTAGCTTTTTCATGGCTAAAATTTTAAACCAAGAGAGTACACAGCACATAGGATTTTTACTTATTACCCCAGATGAGCCCCTGCATTGAATATGAGTGCTGGGAGAAAAAAAACATGTTAACAATTGCTTTATCTTCACCATACTTTGTGTACTTTGTAATTACCATAGGTAAACATATCTTTCAAAGGAAGTGGTGCCAGACACACTACAGTTTTAAATCTCCTCTGAGTTAGTAACTACAAACATATATGTACATCCAGGCAATGAGATGATGATGATGTGCTGAAAGATATTTTCAGTTCTTCTTGTCATTCTCATTTGCTTATAGAAAAGCTCTTAAACACTGTTAGTATCATCTCTATTTTGCTTTCTAAGTGATGACAGGGCCATGCTGACATCTGACTAATTTTGAGAGAAAATGCTTTATAAAAGACAAGCTGTAATTCCTTGCCTGTTCTTTTGATGTTTCCTGCTTTTTTATGGCAATGGAACAGAGCCAAATAACTTCCCCTATGAGTAGTTTAGGAGGTTATCTCTCTCCAGCGTAGAACAAAAGCCAAAAGGATAGTTTTGTTAATCTTGTAAATTATGTTTCTGTTAGTAGACTTCATGAGTCCCCCTCTTTGGCTGGTTATCAAAGAAATGTTTATTATTACTAACTCTTAGTCCTTTCTTTGAGTCAAAATCTCAAACAACTTCATTTCAGGGGCTTGAAGTGTCTCATTCATGCAGGTTCTGATCTGTACATTGCCCTGTTCCTACAGGCAGCTGGGCTGGGAGTTGTGTGTGTTCTGTTTGTGAGCTCCACTGCTTTTTAAAAATAAAACACATTGTTTTTCCCTTTAAAAAGAGAAGTGTTCTGTTTCAATCTTACATTAATGAGTGCAAAATCAAAGCCCTGTTCTATTTACTTTTTATATTGCAAAGAGAATGGATTTTGGTATGGCATCTGAATAATTTTTTGTAAACTTGTGGAAATATTTTTTTAAATTGGTGGTGAGTAAGGCAGAAGATGATAGAAGGAAAGAAAAGAAACTGAGCATGTGGGATATTTTAAGGCAGAGCAGTCTCTTAGGGAGAAGGAATGGCACAGTATTTGGAGTACTAAAATAGGACTTGGGCAACCCAGTTTCATTTCTGTGCTTCCTGTGTAGGACCTTGAACAGAATCCCTCTGGGTCATATCATGTGTATTTCAGTGGAAGAAGAGCTCCAAAGTACTTCTAAGGGTCTGGATGACTGTCGTCTAAATCACTGTATTTAGTATTTCTTGTTAGCTCTCTCTAAGCCTTTAAAACTACTCAGGAGACAGAAAACACTTAGAAGAGTACCTACATGAATTTCTCACCTCTCTGCCTTATTATTCTTATACTACAAATGGGAGATAAGCGTTGTCTTGCCTCACTGACGTGCAATAAGGATCAGTAAAGGTGAGGCAGTTGAATGATATACCTGTGAGTCCACAAAGGATTCAAAGGCAAGATATTTGGGAAAAACCTCATTGACAGAAATGGCTAAGCAGATGTTCACTGTTTCTGTAATCCAGTGGACTCCATACTGTCTGTCCACGTACGCACTGTGAAAGGGTGTGTTTGAACATGAGCGTGCAGTTATATACACTTCTGTATATAGTTATTCATGTTTCTGTTATGATTTCCAAATCAGCCATTGATCAAATCAGCCTGTTCTGTGGGCACAGATCTGGGAACTTTTACAATGTCTGGAAAGTCATAACAGCCTTACAGAGTAAAATTCTCCATATATTCCTCATGCAATAACCACTCTGTAAGATTACTGAGTTATTACCAAGCATGGAATAACCATCCAGCCAAAATAAAACGAGCTCTAAATATGAATTATCAACAGCTTTGACTTGCAACAGGGAGTTTCTTCTTAATGTGTGTGTTTGTTTCAAATAAAGTATTTCCAGTGCTGCTAATGTTTTTTTTCTTTTAAGCAGGTGAATGGAGTGAAGCTCTTTATCCTTTGCTGACCACACTCACCGACTGTGTAGCCATGATGAGTGACAAGGCAAAGAAAGCCATGGTCTTTTTATTAATGCAGGACAGTGCCCCAACAATAGGGCTCTGCCTCAGCCTTCAGTATCGCAGGGATGTTGTCTTCTGCCAGACTGTAAGCAAGCAAATATGCATGTTTTGATTGCACTTCCACATGCAGTGGGATTTATATGAAATATGAAAGATTACTGTTTTCAGAACTTTTCAGATCTCTTCTTGAGTTTGACAGTGTGACCTCCCCTCAGAGGTTGTGCTAGCCTGTCCTTACTGGTCACTTATATTCATTTGACAGTATAATAACTTACATGTCCCCTTGGTTATGCATTCGTCATTTTTGAAAAAATTATTCCAGAACTAGTGAAAATATACTGCTGTCTTCAGAAATAACCTTTGCATTTCAATGTCACCAAACTAAAAGCAGAAGTTAGATGTGAAAGAGGGGGGCAAAAAAGCAAGTGTAGTCCCTCAGCTACCTTTTGGGGTTTTTTACATTGAGAAACCCAACAGGATGTATTGCACCTAAGGAGAGAAGTCCAGCTACAGGGAGAGAAATGAGTTCTGATTTTTCCTAGAAGTTCTGTTTCTGGGGCTGCTGGGGTCTCTTGTGTCACGGCACTGACTGGCAGGTGTCTGCACTAAAAAAACTTCCACATTTCTTTTGCCCACAATGCTTCTGTAGTGCATCTACTTCCCTGTGAAATCAATATCTCATTCGTTCATTTCAAACAGTTTATCTCTTGGACATCATTTGACAGGCTTTTGTCCCAAAATGTAATATCAAAAATGTTAAACGAGTGACAGGACAAGAGGAAATGGCCTCAAGTTGTATCAGGAGTGGTTTAGATTAGATGCTAGGAAAAATTATTTCAGGCAACGGATTGCAAAGCACTGGAACAGTCTGCCCAGGAAAGCAGTGGAATCACTATCCCTGGAAGTGTTCAGAAAACTTGTGGATATGGCACTTGAGGACATGGTTTAGTTGTGTACAGGGTGGTGGTGCTAGGTTGAAGGTTGGACTTGGTGATCTTAGATTCTTTGATTCTGTGATCTCAGGGACAAAATCAGGGAATTTTTCTGTATAAAACCCACTTGATATTGCAGATAGTTTTTAAACTCAATGCTTTGAATGTTTTTACCCATCATAATCAGAACTTTATTCCCTTCTGTTAAATTCTGTAAGTCATACACCTCTGTACATAGCACATGGCAATAGCCTGTTAAATTCTTCCGTTGACTTACAAGTAGTGCTAATCTTGGATCATGGTACTGGCCTTAGTACTAGGTCTTCAGGACCTAATTCTGAATATCTTGTAACACTAGAGTTTAAATCTGCATAATGCAAACAGATACTGCATTTTTAAGCTTTCTCAAATGCCATTCTTAAAAAACCAATCATTTATTTATACTGTCTAAATTCATGGCATGGAACCAGATGTGTTGATTTTCCATCTGAAATATAACGAGTTCTCTCTTTTTAATTCATAAGTTGTAGGCCCTACCACAAGTGTTCATGTCCTGAAAACAAATAAATGCAAGACGTACAGCAGTGCCATTTTAAGAAAGATTGTGAGATGAAAGCAGAGTGCCCTGAATCTGATTTTATGAATTTTTGTGGGGTTGGTTGTTTGGTTGTCTCTCTTCATCAAGGAAAAGAAGAGTGATGTTTAAGGGAAAAGAGCATCTGTCAGACAGATTTTATGGCACCTCTTATAAGTGATGCTGGTTTTGTATGGGGCTGAAGTGCCTTTTTTGTCTTGAATCACTTCATTCTTGTCTGTTTTCTCTCTCACAGCTGACAGCTCTCATTTGCGGTTTCATTATCAAGCTGAGGAACTGCCTGCATGATGATGGATTTCTAAGACAACTCTACACCATTGGCTTGCTGGCACAGTTTGAGAGCCTGCTGAGCACTTATGGTAAAGGCACAGGGCCAGTGGATGTGATTATCTGTTGAGTCAGCAAATTCTGCATTGAACTGGCTACATCAAAATAACAGTGTTTGGGACAATCCGCAACTCAGCTACAAAATTATTTTGAAAACTGAAATGCAAAGCTAGGTTATATCTGGGAGGATTTAACTAGCTAACAACTCTGAATTTCTTTGCACTTGTTTGAATTACTTCTAAAAGATAAAGTGTACTTGTCTTATAATGTCAAAGGTTTAAGAAAGACTAAAACATGTCACAGGGGTATTTTTTTCAGAAAATAAATGGATCAGAGTTCTTGTAAATTGGGAGAAACTGTGCCCAAAATATGCTTTTTGAATTTTCATGACCTTCTGTAGTCTTACGGTACAAAGTGAGGTTGAAGAGAGAATATAAAAAGGAAAAGCACTTCAAATTGTTTCACTCCTGTTTAAACAGCCATCTGGATGCCAGTTAGGGAATGCTTTACCAGAAAAATCCAGAATACCTTGTAGCTTTCCCAACACAAAGGGTATCGTGGCTCTGACAATGCTGAGAAGTACTTAGTAGTATCATATAAATTGGAAAATCAGCATATAAGCTACTTGAAGAACAGTCGTCTGAACTGTTGTAGATAACTGGTGTTTTCTAAACCAGCTGAACCCACAAAGTCAGTCACGACATTGTCTGTAGGCCAAGGGGGAGGCCTGGGCTGCGTGACCTTCTTCATTTGTGGAACTTAATGGAGTGATGACCTACTGTTGTCATCAGATGGATAAAGGGAAGTTGTACATAACAAATAATGATTATGTTTCACTTTTTACTCTTTAATTTAGGTGAGGAGCTGGCAATGCTGGAGGACATGAGTTTGGGAATCATGGACTTGAGGAATGTAACCTTTAAAGTAACTCAGGCTACATCAAATACATCTACTGACATGCTGCCAGTCATCACTGGAAATCGGTAACAAAAAAAATCAAATATACTTTACTCTGGATGAGATGGGGATATGCCAAAATTTAGCTTTTTCAACCCAAGTTGCAGGAGAGCTGCTGTATTAATGAGCAAAGCAAAAGCAGCTTTTGTTAGAAAATTAGCAAAACTAAATGTCCATGAGGATGTAAAATCAACATTACAGGTTAGTGCAGGTTTGTTTTTGAACTAGAATGGATTGGGAGCAAGCTGTAGCAATTCCTTAAAGTCAGTTTTGATTGATACTTGGTTTTTATTGTGTTACACACTTTTTATTTATTTATATATGCACATAATAGTTGTACTACGTTCTAGATGTTATCCCTCTTTACGTAAATAACATGTTCTTGGAACGCAGGTTTTTGACTGATAGCTGTTTACTTCTTTGCAGTGATGGATTTAATGTGAGGATCCCTCTGCCAAGCGCCTTGTTTGATTTGTTGCCGCGAGAGATTCAAAGTGGCATGTTACTGAGGGTTCAGCCTGTTCTTTTCAATGTGGGAATCAATGAGCAGCAAACCTTAGCAGAGAAGTATGTATTTAGTCATGCAAGCTCGACCTTCATGGCAGTTCAGCAGTGGAATGGTGTCGCTCTGTAATTGCACTGTTGCATTACTAACAGGGATTCAGTTTCTCCAACTCACGAAAAAGGGAATAACAAATGAAGCTGTCAGATGCCAAATAAATGAAAGGAGGTCCTTCTTTATGTGCCACATAGCCGTGAAGCTTCTTACCTCATGGGTTTGAGACTAGTGCAGGTTTTTGTGGTTCAGAAGTGAGTTGGCAGATGAGGAAATCTGTCATGGACCATTTAACACAGAGGTGCTGCTTGTGACTTCAGACCTCTGTGAGTGAGATGTCATTCGGAGTATTGCTGTGTATTTGCTTTCTTGGTTTTTCACTGTCCTCTAGACTCCCTCTCCTGGTCACTGTCAAAAACCTGGATAAAGGTCAAGATGGCCCCTGGTTTTAGCATATCCTTGTAGTATTTATATAATGCAAAATTGCTCTTGTAAAGCTGAAAAATATGCAAATATATTTACTATGGAAACTGCTCAGTTTTGGAAGAGCCACCAGAGCTTCCCGCTGCTATGGCCATATCCTTTAAAGAGTACACTGACAGAGCACTGCTCTAATGGAGAACTCCAGTGAAATCAGGCATATGCATGTTGTGACAGCAGCCTTGGTACTGGGGTGGAATGTGCACTCTGATGGTGGACAACTAGAAAAAGTCTAACAAAAACATTCCAGCAATTACTGTTGTCCTCTATTGCCTATAAAGGGAGCCCAAGGTGACGAGCACAGTTACAGATGTCAGCACTCTGTGTGCATATATAGTTAGATGAGATGAATCAGGGCATTGTTGACAATATTTATTACAGTTTTCTTTCACCATCCTTCCCTTTTTTCCCCTCACACTCATGTCTTTTATTCTTCTGTAATACATTATTACAGTACTTCTCTGTTACACTCAGCTCTGCATTTGAATGGTTAGGAATTCATGGGTTGAATCTTTAAACTTTTTCTGGGAGTCATATTGTCAAGTGCAGTTGTTTTGAAGAAGAGGAGAAACCTTCTACTTCGGGCTTAATTGTTTCTTTCTTCGCCTTTTTAAGATTTGGAGACACCTCACTGCAAGAAATAATTAACATGGAAAGCTTAGTGCGTTTGAATTCGTATTTTGAGCAGTTCAAGGAAGTTTTGCCTGATGATTGTAAGTATTTGTTAATTAATGACAGGTTTGGTTGAACAGCACAATTCAGGCTGATTTATGCTTTATGTTATTTGTTTAAATGTTGATAATACACCAGGATTAGTAACCTCCAAGAAATTATGCAACTCCATTTTAGGTTAAGCAGATTCAATAGACTCAAAGGTCAGACTGATTAACTTCCCTTTTTAAATTTACTTTTAGATCTCTAAGTGGCATTATGTACTGTATAATCATGCAGCCAGACAGTTAGATTGCTGTGAGGGAAAGGCATAAAAGTGAGAAGTTACAACAGCAGCACTCTTATGTGCTGTTTTTGGTGATGTTCTCTGCAGTTATGATAACCTGCACAGGGAGCAACTGCCAGTTTCGAGGAACTCAGTCCACTTGCCTTCTCCTTATCCTTTAGCACTTTTCTATAATTGCTGCATCTGCAGCCAACAACAGAGAACCTGGAAGAGAAGCAATAGCTACAGGCTTGCATTTTACTGTTTATGTAGGAAAGTGTCTTGCCTGTTACTGTTTGAGGTTTTTTGGGGGGGAAGGCAGTGACATAAATGTTACTTATGTGTGACCACAAAAATTGTGAAAATTCATCAATTCGTTATTATTACTATCAAACCTCTTCTAAGCTAATTTCATGGGTTCTACAACTGCAGTTTTATTGCAGAAATACAAATGCAGAATCATGCAACAGGATAGTAAGAAATCTGTCTATTCAGTATGTTATTGTACTTTCAGTTACCCTGGATTTTTTTGATACAGCTGAGGGCAGAAGCTGTTTCCTTCCTTTCAGGCATTCATAATCCTGCATAATTAATTCTCAGAAATTTTAGCTACAAAATTTATTTTTTTATTATTATATAGTAGTCTAGCATCAGATTTTTTGTAAGGTTCAAAAATTAATCAATTTGAAGTGATTTTTATACATGGCTCTGTCTAGTCTTTCATAATAACATTTCCCATTCTGTTCCTTTCCTCCTGATTTTTACTTGCCTTTTTTTTTTTTTTAACTTCTCTCTCTTCCCTCATCCCCAAGCCTCTTATGTTTGATCCAGTCATCTCTTAGCTTTTACCTTTTTTTTTCCCTGAAACTTGAGATGATATTTACAATGTGCAAAGTGAAACGTACTTTTCCATGAACGCTTGTCAAGGGAGAATAGCATTTTACATTTAACTGTAAACCAGGTGATTATGAGCAGTGATGTGGTCTGTGGTAAGCAGAGACAAAAGAAAAACCACAAAGATCATTCTAGGGGCCTTTTGTCCCTGAGAATGTAAGGACTGTAGGAAATGCTCCCTTCAAGAACAGTACACAGGAAAAGTTGATTCCTGATTCACCATGCTTGTCCCTGTACTCTTAATTCTAAGCTCTGCAGAATTTGTAAGTCCATTACTGTCTTAGCTTCTTTAGGTCCTTGTTCTATTTGTTCTCCTTGTCTTTAGAAAGGCTTGGGGAGATGGTCTATGTTCTCTTTTGTTTACAGGTATTACTTTCTTGGTAGAGGTCCGTAGTGCTCCATTGGGGTTGTGGTGACCCAACTGCAGGACACAGCACTTGGTCTTGTTGAACCCCATACAGTTGGCCTCAGCCTCTTTATCCAGCGTATCCAGATCCCTTTGCAGTGCCTTCCTGCCCTCCAGCAGATAAACATGCCTCCTGATTTGTCAGTCACCTGCAACTGACTGGGGTGCACTTTATCCCCTTGTCTAAATCATTGATAATGGTATTAAACAGGAGTGTCTCTGATACTGAGCCCTGGGGAACCCCACGAGTGACCAGCCACCAGCTGGTTAGCTTCATTCACCAGCGCTTTCTGGGCCTGACCATCCAGCTGGTTTTTTACCCAGTGAACAATATGCCCCACCAAACCATGAGCAGCCAGTTAGTCCAGGAGAATGCTGTGGAAAACAGTGTCAGAGGCTTTACTAAAGTCCAGGAAAACAGCACCCACAGCCTTCCCTCATCCACTCACCAGGTCACCTTGTCATAGAAGATCAGGTTAGTCTAACATATTGGTTGCTGTCAGAAGATAAGTAGTCCAAAAACAAAACTTCGTATGTCACCCACGTAGGGTTCTTTTTGTCACATAGTCATTTCTAACAGTGAATACCTCTTATTTATTTAACCACAGCTTTAGTTGGTGTTCTCTATGGTTACCCCTTCAAAAAAACACCCCCAAAACAACAGTCTGTGTAATACTTGTAGTTGATTTTCTTGAGAGTCTTGCTACATATGCAAGAGCTGAACACTTGAACATAGAAGATGAGGTACTCTGAAAAATTTTAACTGCTTTATTTCTGCTTAGTGAAATATTAATAAACAGATCATGACAATGCATTGTCCTGTCACAGAGAGTGTTTCTTGTAACTGACAGCTGACCAGCTTGCAAATTTAAAATTGAAAATGTGAGCAGAATAGAAAATAGCTTCAGAGTTTCTGTTGAGACACACGACTCCTGTCACCTCTGTGACACACAAACCAATCCGTACCATACCAATCTTGTTCCCTTTGTTCATTCTGTTAGTATATTGCTATTAGATTCTAAGTCCCTGAAATTTTAAATAACCTGAATTTGTATTTCCAGTTGAGTTGAATTAAACTTGAATCTGTTTTTTTGATGGTACTAAGCAAGTAAGAACTCAATTAGCTGTTGTAAGCTTTGATAGTTTCAAGAAAGCACAATTATGTTTGCAAAAGGCAAATAGGAACACTTACCTTTGTAAATGATCTGTTGAATACAGATAAGTAAGTGGAGTTGATTTTGTTTGGTTTATAGGTCTACCTCGATCTCGTAGTCAGACGTGCCTGCCTGAACTGTTAAGATTTCTGGGACAAAATGTACATGCAAGGAAAAACAAGAATGTTGATATCCTTTGGCAAGCTGCTGAGGTATTTATTCATCTGAGCATCTCTGCATAGTTCAGCTGATTTTCTGTGTGCATACATATTTTCTCTTTTTTATTATTGGTATGTTTGTATTTCTTCATTTGCTTGTGTGTGGCTTGGAAATGCTGCCAAGTTAAACCTTCTCTAGAATGAAACATGGGGAGATAAAATGTATTTTCCACATCAGAATTTTCCCATCAGATTTTTTCTCTGTAACTCACGCAATGAAGTTCTGCTCTCTCAAAGATGGCAAATTTTAACATCAAAGTCCTACACAGCATTTTTGTCTCTCTAAGGAGTACAGGCGTGTTTTCTGACAGAAAGTTATGTAAAATGATGGATTGTATATCCCCTTTCTAGATATGCCGCAGACTAAATGGTGTTCGATTTACAAGCTGTAAAAGTGCCAAGGATAGGACTGCCATGTCCGTCACCCTGGAGCAGTGTTTGATCCTACAGCATGAACATGGAATGGCTCCACAGGTCTTCACCCAGGCTCTGGAGTGTATGAGGAGGTAAGAGTTTGACTGCATCACTTATTCCCGAATGAGGAGGAACCATGCAAACTGCAGAGGAGTGGTGGTCTCTGTTTCTGTCAAAAGAAAAATAAGGTAAAGTCAGAAAACTGCAGAACTGACTGCTAAAATTCATCCCTCCCTTGCATATGAGTTGCATATGCTAAAGCTGGTTCTTACCAGTTTTGTATCAGATGGGCTTGAGTTTTCAGTAGTAAATGAGTTTTCAGAGAAGCATGTAAATAAAAATGTGCTTTCAGTTAATGCTGAGCTTACAGAACAGGAAACTGGTGCTTCTTTGAAAGTTGTTTAACAATGAGGTTACCTGAACTGTCACAGCACTGGGTTTCTTAGTTCTAGATCAGGCAGATTACTCAGGGATGCCCTGTCTTTTGTTCTTTGAAACACAGACACCTGCAGTTTGCACTGGTTTGCCACATGTATTCTTTAGCAGTGAAACACTGCTCACTGGGTGAAATGTATGAGTGTTTCACACTACAACAACCAAACTTCATCACAATGTGTCAGTGTGCTGTTGTCGTATCAATATAATGATGTTCTGTATTCTGAAGCAGCAGAGATGTTTGCAGAATTAAATACTGTACTTAAAGAAAAAAATAAAATCTGTTTACTGTTGTTCAATGCCTTGTTTCAAGCACTGCTGGAAAACTCCGTAAGTCACATACCCAAAGAAAGGATAAGAAATCTAGCTTTAGTCTTTATCAATGTAGTTCAACAATGCTGTTCAGTCCTGTTTTTCAACATTCACTCTTACTGAATGTACTGTACTGTGTGTCTTTTCACCAAATTCTCTAGAGTGTTCAATTCTCTTATCCTTTCTGTATGTTTTTGCTGTTTGACCCTTTCCTACTCTTCAGTTACCTAGAAGAAAAATGTCTCATACAATATAACACTTCCAACCTCTTACACTAATAATTTGGGGGGTTATATCTACATCTAATTGGATGTCACTGGACTTCTTTATTTTCACTTTTTTTTGCTGCACTTTTTGCCGCATTGTTACAGAATTATTAAAGTTCATGAAAACTGCACTCAGAGAGTAACTAAACCTTGATATTAGAAACAAAATTTGAAACAATTTCATGAGGGAGAAATTATTAACTTAAAAAGGAACTAAGTAACTCTCAAACATCTTTAAATTATGCAACTTGTAGATTTCTTAGACATCTGACAGAAAAAAAGTTTTGTTTCACAGTTTTGTGTTTAGTAAGAATAAAAACAACTAGAAAAAAATACTGGGAATCTTGTTACTTTCTTCAAATTCATTACTGGGTCAGTGAAGTTTTTTTAATGCAGTCGTGGGCACAGTAGAGAGAGAGAGGTTAATAATAACATTGGTTTGGTCCTTCAGACTACCCATTTAATATAACACAGGATCAGATAAAATATTGACCCAAGGAAAATATTGCTTTATGTCGACCTACACAGGGATATTGAAAGAGGGCCAATTTAATCAAAACCTTTGGGTTGAGTGTTCTATCAGCATCAGGGACTTGTTCTGACAGGCAGAAGAAAGGGACTTTCTCTTCTGTTATATCTTTGACTAGGAGAGCTTGTGCAGAACAAATACTGACTAGTCCTGAGGGAAAATCAAGATTAGACCATTCTTCAAGCTCATCACTCTTTCTTCCTCACATCTCATTGCTCTTTGGGGTACATGTCTGTGTTTTTAAAATTATTTGTCAATTCTCAGGAACAATGGCACAGAATTAAAAAAGTTTAGTGAGACAGATTGGACTGCAGAACAAATATGGAGGAGTCCAACTCCACCAAATCCCATTTCAGCCTGGACAGGTTGGCCTGGCCTAGATGACATATATAGGACTTGAAAGGGCAAATTACTTCCAGGACATTCAGAAAACTTGGGTATTTTTCTTTTAGCTTGGCTCTTTTATTTGGGCAACTGTACTGGAAAAGGAAGGTTTGGTTCATTCTTGGAGACTTTTGAAGTTTCTGGGATAGTTGGAAAGACAGGTAGAAGTACTAACAAGTTGTGAGACTCAAAGGAAGTATTTAATCTCTACTGATAACTTCCCAGAGAAGAAAAGCATCCTTGCTCCATTCTTGAAAAAATTAAGAAAGCATCTCTTCTTCCATGTGATGTTGGTCTTCAGAGGTGTTAGTTCCTGCTTGTCCTCAAGGACTTCCCTTCCTTCCTGGTCTTGTGATAATTACGTTCAGTGAGCATGGACATCAGGGAGAGAACGTAGAGTGCTCATTGTAGGTTCTTGTAGAAATTCACAGATACAAGGTTGTGGTTTTCACCTTAGAAACAAATATCCTATTAGAATAAACTCACTTTTCTGTAAATAAGTTACAGCTTTTCCAGTCCTAAATGAAATATATGGTAACTCACACCCTACAAGTAGTAAAATCTTGATGATTATGTCTGGAAGTCCAAGCTACAGAGGAAGTGGCTACCTGGCCAGTAAAGGCAGATCAAGAGTCAAAGTCCAGATGGATCATGTAGCTTCTTCCATCTGCAGCCAACACTCCCCACTAGACCTGGGACTCCCTGCCCTCCCTTCCCCTACCAGATTTATGTCCTGTCAGAAATGCCAGTGGAGCTGTTTGTGTGAATATGCTCTAAGGCAGTTTCAGTCAAAATCATCCTGTGTAGCCAAATCCTTTACATGTTTCAGGTAGCCTAGCTCACTGTTGTTAAAACAATTAGGAAACTGCAACACAAGCAGTTTAGCCAATAGAGGAGAGCTGTCTTTGATAGGGAATCTTGAAAAGCAGCTGGAAATTGGGTGAGGGAAATAATCTCTTCTAGCTGCCATGGTGCTCTCTAAAAGGAATTACATAATAAAGTCCTGGGAGTCACGTTTGGATATGACCACTCGCTGCAATAAAACAACCATGATAAAAATCTTGCTTCGATTTCTTCGCTGATTGATCTGCTTTAGGAATAAAATTGTGTTGAGTTGACCTTGACCACCTTGCCAGATGTGCACCCAGCTGCTCACTCACTGCCTCCCCTCAACAGGACAGGGGAGAAAATATGTGAAAAAGCTCATAAAGACAGGGAGATCCCTTGCCAATTACTGGTACAGGCAAAACAGACTCATCTTAGAGAAAATTAATCTACTGCCAATGGATTTGGGATGTTAAGACAAAGACAAAAATTAAAAAAATTAAAAAACCTTGCCTTCCACAACCCCGTTTGTCCTAGGCCTCCATTCTGGTCCTCCATTCTCAATTCCTCTACCTCCTCCCTATGCTGAGCAGTGTACAGAGGATGTGGAATGGGGGGTTGCAGTCAGTCCATAACAGCTCTTCTCCTTCCTTCTTTCCCTCTCCCACTGTTTTACTTTTTATCTATACTCGAAAACACTTCTTCCTCCAGGCTATTTTACTGAGCCTTTATCCACCACTTTTCAGTCAACATTAGCTTTCCAGTGACTGATTCTTCTGATCACACACACACACATCCTCCTCCCCACCACTACAAAAATAATTGGGATTTGTAGGCATCACAGATGCAGTCTGCCCTTGTCCAGTGTAGGCACCAGGAAAACATATTTTGATCACTGATTTGGATCTGTTAATTTAGATCAGAAATACGGTTGGTTTAGTTCCCTGCCCACCTCATTGCATTTGACTTGAAGTGTCACCAGCTTCTGAACATTATTTTTGTCCTTTACCACCTCCAGGGTCTCTCTTTCCTTCTAAGACATTGTCCATTGGTTACCTAACCTTGCTGTGCAACCAGGAAGGTTATGGATTGATTTTTATGGATGGAGGGAGCACACTAGTTCTAACAGGATCAGGCTCGCAGGTTGCTCTTAGTTATTGCTTTGGAAACTAAAAATAGAGTTGGACCGCGCAGGGTATAAGACTGATCCAAAATGAAAGGCCACAGTACAAAGCCTCAGGCTCCCTGAAGAGGTGCTCGCCACTTTATCCTCCAGTGCTCCGTGTAGGAGGTGGGGGCACAATGAGATGGGCTTTGCAGCACGTCTCGCCTTCATGTGCATATATTGAGGCACTTCAGAAACATGCATTTTGAGAAGCATGTTGATACACTCTTGAATTCATGTCAAAGCAGAAAAACAAATGGGTGATTTGGGGTTTTTTGTTTACGTGTTGAACAGGTAGTTAAGAGGTTAAACTAATGCACTGCCGCCCACATGGAAAGATGTTTGAAAGGGTCAAATACTACAATGGTTATTCATGTTCAGCTTGCTTTTCAGAGCTCCACTTTTCTGCAGCATGCCAAAGCATGGCAGAGCAGCATGGGGTATTATTGCTTGGTAATCTGAAAGAGTGAACATGGAAAACCATTTATGTTCAACCTACATGTGTTTATTTTCACTAGACTACAGTACTTCTTTCTTATTTTTCTCTTTTATTCTCTTTCCCTCTCCTTATTTCTACAATTGTGCTGATACATATTTTTGAGACCTCTTTCCACTCTTTCTTTACTTCCATCTTCTGGTTTTGTTGTGCGTTCTTCCATGTTTTTTCATCTTCTTGACCACCTTGTGTTGCCATCTCTTTTTATGCATTCATTTGCATGTCCGTCTTCCTTTCTGTTTTATTTTCCCTCTTCCCAACCTTCTTCCTTTTCACAGCATTGGAACACGGGAGATAGTCACGCAGAAGAACTTGAGTGGCTTGGTGCCCATCCGAGATTTCAGACTAGATCCCAGCCTCCTCTACTCTATTCCTTTACTAGCTCTCAGCCCCAATTTACTGATTGTGTGGCTGTTTCTGAGCATAGCATACCTGGTGGCCAGATTACGTTGCAAGTGAAGATTAAGTTAAAAACAAAAACAAAAAAAGTGCTTGAATGTGTATTGCCACTTGGTACCTGCTGGACAAAGGAATGTGTCATAGCATTGTCTGCCAAGAATTATTATTATGCCTTACAATTTTACGTTTCTATTGTACTAAACTGTAAATATACATCAAATTATTTTATCAAAAAGAATTGTATTGAAACTTTAAATTATTGTTCTGCTTTCAGTGCTTGTAACATAGTCTGACATTGGCCTGTTACCTCGTTACTTTAGCCGGCCTGAAGATCTCTTACCAAATATAGTTTTATGTTACTTGTTTCATGTATTCCAGAGAAAGGAACTCTATCTGAAAAGAATTTGTATCTTTTTGTATATTTAAGGGGTATGCTAATCTTGCCTTTCATTTTTACAAGGTATGAAGAGAAAACTAAAAACGTGGGTGGGGTTTATAAGAAATTGTTAGAAATTTATTTAAACAAATTTCTACCTTCATTTCAAAGCATAATATCCAAATTACTGAACAGTTTGTAGAACCATAGTCTTGTTCCTTTCTCATGGTTAAGTATGTTCTAATAGACTAGTGTACCCACTCAAAAACCAACTTGCAGTGTGCTGCATGCAGAATTATTTCATTCTATTTGTAGATCTGCATTTTGCAATGTATTAAAGACATAAAGAGAATAACTTGTGGTTAGGAAGGGGATGTAATTGGCATTAGCCTGCTAATGATCCATTATCTGTTTCAGGTGCTCTGTTATAGAACTTATTCTGAAATAGAGTCATTATCATCCTAGAAGATAAAGATAGTGGACTTTAATATTTCAGGCAAGGAGAGGGAGGTATCAGTTAGCTGCTGTAGTTAGGGGGTTTGAGGTTTTCCATTGGGCTTTATTTTAATTACATTAGACTAAATATTACTGTTACTTCCATTTTTAAGTGTTGGACAGCTTTAATAAATTATGATGCTGGTAGTGACTTAGTGATAAACGAATGATGGTAAGTTAAGATGTATTTAGGTGGTGAAACTAAAGCGGCTTACCTAGTTTAGTGATGCAGATAAATTTGATCATCATTTATGTATAACATCAAACTGGGGGAGGCCTGTTTAAACTGAAAGGTTTTGTGGGTTCAGTGGTCTGGCAGAGCTTGTCAATAGCAATAGCTGATTAAAAAAACCTAACCTCATTTAATGTAGTTTGATAAATTCATAAAGGGATTTACTTCGCTTGGTGCCTGAGATGATATTGGGCTTCTGAGGAGAGCCAGTACTGTGATTTGTATTTTCTACTATTATTAACTTGCTCAAAAACTATAGGTAGCTATAGCTTTTATTATTCATTTTAATGGAATTTGAAAGCTGCTGGAAGAGGTATGCTAAAAAAACCAAAAAAGCACAGTTAGAATAAAAGTTAAAATTAAATCCTAACTTTGGATTTAATTATTCTAACTAAAAAAAAAAAAAAAAAAAAGTGTGTGTTATATTTGTGTCTTCATGAAATCAGACTGTACAGTACACTATCTCCTGATATTTTTACTCACTATTCTTCCAATTTTGTTCTTAAAAAAAAAAAAAAAAAAACCAAAACCAAAACCAAAACACCAGAAAGACATATCTGGGTTTATATATGTATATATTTAAGCATGTATCCTATTTACTTTTAGTTGCTATGAATTTAGGTGCATCCTTACTGCAGATGAGATTTAAAATCATGGTATGATGGTATTGGACATACCCATGTCCTCTGCTGATACCTGATACCATTGTGTCTCCATAGTAATCATCTCTTCATTCTGATTAACGCTGGTTCATTTGCTATGGGGTGCCCCAGTCTACCTTTTTGCAAAGCAAACAGTTGTCAGGTTGGACTGTGGCCTTGTTCTTGCAACGTGATGAGTGTTCTAGGCTCAGTCTAACAAGATGTAAAAGTAACTTCAGTAGAATCACAGAATATCCTGAAAAGGACCCACAAGGGTCAGTGAAGTCCAACTTCTGACCCTGCACAGCACCATCCCCAAGAGTCACACCACGTGCCTGGGAGCATTGTCCGGATGCTGCTTGAGCTGTCAGGCTTGAGCTCTGTCAGTCTTGGGGCCATGACCCTGGGGAGCCTGGTCCAGTGTCCAAGCACCCCTCTGATAGTAGAGTGGCAGGCACGTTCACTGAACTCCCTGAAATTATAAATCTGTTTAAAGTGTGAAGGTACTGCTCATGACTATCACTAGGATTGCAGTAAGACCACACTTAAAGTCATCTATTCTTTTTGAAAACAAGGTAGGTTTGTTCTTTTTTTCCCTAAACTTTAATGGGGACAAGTTTTGGGGTTTTTCATTTTTGAGCTTGGTCTGTGCTTTCGTTTGGGCATTGAGATTTAAGATGCTGTACTGCTTACTGCTTACAGCAGAAGAAACATGGCACGTGAAATGATGTGTGTGAAATACATTTTTGTCACCATCTCTGTGCCATGGAGGGGCATGTGCAACAACCAGATGCAGTGGAATGCATTGTGAACAGAGTGATTCACTTTGGAGTTAAAATGCTCATCCAGCATCCCATATTTGCTAGTTAAACTTACTGCTTTTATTAGTACTCTGAAGTATAATTTGTGCAATTTTTTGATGAATCTACTTAGCTGCAGCAGCCATTGGGGGAGTTCTGTAACACAAAAACCAATGCCAGGAAAACAGTTACCATGTTCTATATCTGTTCTATAAAAGGCAAGCACAGAATGTGCTCCGGAGACAAATTTCAAACTTACTGTTTCTTAAAGCAAAAATGTTACAATATGTTATGAAGTTAAAGTAGGTGTTACATACAGAACAGAGTTACAGCCAGTTTCATTGACCAAAATTAGAAGAACAGTGAAGTCAGTGAGAGCACGAGAGCTTTCAAACTGAACCAGAATCCAAACCCTCCTTTTGAATCAGATGCCCACAGCTTACCTGGTAGATGCTGCAGCCATCTTCAAGACAGGACTACTGTGACATTTCCACCATAAGATGCTGTACTGTACACTTTGCCATGAAGGTTTAGTATTAATTGTTTAGGTTTCCGTCCTCAATCAGGGAAAGACATTCTTCTGCAAGCCTAAATTGATTTATAATATATATTTAAAAGATAGTGCTTCCTCTTTGTATGTCTGTTTTTTGGATATAATCAAAGGAACTCTGAATTAGATTTACAAGTGTAAAGAAGCCTTATAACCAGAGTAGTTTTCTATTGTAGCACAGAATCTCTTTGTAATGTGGGGGCAGTTGCACCAAAACATTGGGTGAAAATTAAATTCTGCACAGCTTTGTTTCATTGGGGTGATGTCTGTCAACAGAGACAGGGTTTTTTTTGCACCTAAGCAAAGCTGCTATTTCATGATTAAGATTTTTTTTTTAGACTGTGTTGGTTTTCAAGTCAATTTATGCATGCAGAGATAATTGGAAATTCATTATTTTTGTATCAGCTCTAATCTTTTAAGTAAGTACTGATAATACTGACATACAGGGAACAATAAAATGACTTTAAAGGTCTTATAGAGAGATCAGCAGTTTTTCTTTTTCAGCTTAATGTATTAATAAATTAGCAGAACTGCTTTTGAGCAATCCCTTGGGATCCCTTGTGCAATGAAGCAACATGTGAACTCCACAGCAGAGTACCCTGAAATACATGAAACCGTTGCGAAAGAACTTTTTCAGTAGATGTGCTGCTGCTTTCCAGAAATGCAAAACTAGCAATCAGACATAGCATGTGTCCATTCTGTGTGCTTCTTACCAGCATTGTATGATGAGTCATCATTTTTAATATTTGCAGTGGCAAATTAATTAAACGCTCATTAAATATAACCAACTTTTTTTTAATGCTATAAGATAACCAGTTCATTTCATCTTAGTTTAAGTCTTTTTTTTTTTTTTTCCCTTTTTACTGCTGTCATTTTTTGTGCTTGTTTTTTTTCCCCAGTGAGGGTTGTCGCCGAGAAAATACAATGAAGAATGTTGGATGTCGCAAGTATGCATTTAATTCCCTGCAACTGAAGGCTTTCCCAAAGTATTACAGGCCTCCAGAAGGAACTTATGGAAAAGTTGAAACATAAGCATAACATGTCCTTTAATTGCTGTTCCATTAAAACATGTGGATACACTCTAGACTAATACATGAGTTTGTCATCCAGAAGAGATAAATAACCTTTTTGTACGTTCTGCTAGGTTATACAGAGCATGTTACTTACAGAATTGGAATCTATAGTAACAATTATTCCGACACCTTAGCTTGAGAATAGTGTGATGACTCTCTGCCCGTTTAAATAGCCTTCAGTGTATGTAAGATGAGCAGATATTGTGATACTTAATAATTACCTATATGCAAATAGCTAGGTACCTCCTGGATGGGAAAGGACTCTAGGAACGGCGTTTAGGCAGCTGTTTCACATAACGTCTTTTTATACGGAGTTGACTTGAGATTGAGCTTTTCATAAACTTTTTAAAACTGAGAGTAGAACTCAGAAGTTGTAAATAAAGAGGGATTGGATCCTAGACAGTCTAGTAACTGTCGAATGTATTGTTACAATCAAGAAACGGGGGTTTAACTTAAAAAAAAAAAAAATCAGCACAATAAAAGCCAGGAGACTAAATTGGTTTACTGTGTATAGGATGCCATCTTCATATATGAAATTAACAATATTTGAAAGGCCAGACATATGAGGTCTGGCTTATAGTTCTGTTAAAACAAATTTCTGTTGTGTTCAACTGATAAGCCCTCGGGCACACAACTGATTTTAAAAAATGTTTCAGAAACGTAATGATGCTTAACCAATTAATGCCAGCAACAGTTCTCCCTGTCCCTCCCCACTCTAAGGCAAGTGCAACAAGCACATTGCTCATGTTGCACATGACATGTTTGATCTGTTCCATGGTGTTGTACATTAATTAACGCATTTTTACCCATGGCTTTTTATATCACTTCTGGATTGTAAGCATTAATGTCTCGGGGCATCACATTATTTTGATCAGTGTTTGATTTTTTTTCTATATCAATTTTGTACGTCAACACAAAGAGTGCTCAGAATGCCCAACGCATCCCTGCTACTCCATAACCAAAGCTGGTTTCTGTTCACCCCTGCTTTTTACCTGTTCAGAATCCTGGCGGGGGGAAGCGTGGCTGATGTCAGGGTATTTCTGAGGAAGGCAGTGATGCCCCGTGTTGATAGAAAGGAACTGCTCATGTGCTACTGCTTGTGCCTGAGAACTGCAGGTGGGTTCTAGCTTAGGACAAAGGTGATCAGTTTACTAGCCTTTGGTAAAAAACGTTCAACAGATCTCAGAAATAATCTCCCAAAGAACGCCTTCGAAGCTAAGATAGCATTTTTAAAAGCAGCTAAACATTCTTTTCCAAATTTTAACAGGATCAAATAATTTCTAGCTAGCTTTGTTCAGCACACCGTCTCCTTTCCTGCTTGGTTTCTAAGGATCTAAATTTTAGAACAGAAAGAATCTGCCCATTTATTTTGTGAGAGTAGCAACAGCCAGGTAAGTATATGGCTGTTTCCTGATTTCTTTCTTCCTCTCACTGATGTTTGTCTGTGCTGTCACTGCTCTATCAATCAGCCATGTTCATTCTGCTCCCACGTAGGTCTGGGGGTTACAGGTCCAGCAGTTTTTGCATTTTGCTTTTTGCAGTTTAACGCTGAGCAGCATGTCACAAAGCCAGGTCAGAGAGTTCTGCTGAACTAGGCTGTTATCATTATTTCAGACTCTCTAGGATAACAAAACACGGAACTCTGTGCAAAAGCAATGTATTGTAGTACCTACCCCAGGTCTGAACAAATCATCTGCAGTAGAACGGTCCCTTGGAAATGCTACAAACCCTGTTCGCCAGTTATTAAGTGTTGATTTTGGTTTACTTTTTGCTAATAAATAAACAAATATATGGTGAAAAACTTTTCAGTGGGATCTCTTTAGACATTTTGCTCCATTAGTTCTGCTCAACTTTCAGCTCCTGGCCCACTATTAAATGTTACATTTATTTTTGTATAAACTATACTCTTTATATCCCTTAGTTTATATGAGTTGATAATTTTATTTTGTATATTTTAAGCATGGTTAATTTTAAGTCCTGTATTGTTACACTAAAAATCTTCCAATGTTCAGCTTCAGAAGAAAATAACAAGGGGTCTCTTGTAGCAATTAGCAGTGCCACTCTCTTAGACTGTGACCAACAATCAGTAGATCTGCTCTAGAGCTTAGTGATCCTTTATTTATTTTGTATACCAACGTAATGGGAAAAAGTTGCTGAGTTTTGTATGTGCGTGGTGGAACAGCCGTCCCAAGTACTGCGTTGTTTTGTTTAAAATACTCTGATTTCAGTAAGCTTACCTGTAAAACGCTGTTGTCCAGCTCATGTGTTCTGTACAAGGCATGGTCAGCACATGCACATCCACGGGCTCGTTTAAAGGGCGTCACAAGCAGCAAGATCTCAAGCAGTTCATCAAAAAAAGAAAAACTGTGAAACTTGAAATCCACATAGAACGCTTCACAAGGGTGAAGTAAGCTTTTCTGTTGCACAGGAGAGGTGAATCTAAGGATTACTGTAAAATGAAATTCTGTCTAATATTCTTTTTTTGAGTACATTTTTTAAATTATAAAACATACAAAGGTAAAAAAAGAAAACTGTTGCCAAGTATGTTCTGTGTATGTTCTGTGAAAGTACCTACAGCACAGTTGCCTTTTGTTTCATTTATACGTGTAAAATTATTGTATAATAAGACACAGTTTTGTCCCAACACAACTGTATTTGCCAAGCTTTGTGCATTGAAATATTTTTATTTATTTGGTTTTGGGCAGTATTAATATATCATAAACATATAGCTACTGTTTTATATATTCTAGTTCATCCAAGCCATGTATGCTGTAAATGTGCTAGTCTTTAGGATGAAAACCAATAAAGAACTGACAAGAATAACAAATGGTGTCTTACTTTTAATGTGTTTGTGGTAAATGAAAATAAACACTTTCAGCTTCCTTGACTTGATACGCTTTTATCTGTTGCAGAATATATTAAGCCAAGTTGTTGTGGGGAGACATTTTGCACAGATGTTAAAGTCAGGAAGTAGTTACTTCAAACCCTGTTGAAGTACAGCTGCTGTCAATTCTCTGTAGTTAAGTCAGGCACCAGTTTGTCCCACGTGCTACACATTCAGCAGCGACAGCTAAATAAAAAAAGCAATGAGGTATTTTTTTTTTCTTTCTTAATTTTATATACTTTCTCTATTAATCTTCTGTAAGGCCTTCCTGATCTTTGTTCTCTGGTGTTTTCACTCTTCCTTCCATTAATAGAATTCCTCCTCTGCTGCTGCTTCCTTTTCAGCCAACTCATCCCTCCAGCAGCTTTAGCAGTTGGGCTGTTTTTCGGCATGAATAGGTTGTCATTTTTGATTGTCATTTTGATTTCAGGTTAAGTAAAATTTATATAATAGTGTAACACAATAATTCAGAGCACTCTGATTTCTGCAAAATGTGAAGAATAGAACATAAAAATGTAATTCTGTTGCCACTGGGTGTTTGAGAACTGCCAAATACAATTTTATTTGTGTGAAAGAGGACTGAGGACCACAGGTGGAGCTCCATGAATTAGTTTTTCTCGTTACACATAAAGAAAACAGTAAAAGATAAAACCCCATGCTGCTTTCATTCAAAATGCAGAAAGAGAAGATGCTTGACAGGAACTCCTAAATTCCAAATGAAAAATACATCTGCAGGCTTCTGTGTGTGTGTGTGTATATATATATATACACACACATTTATATATATATATATGCATTTCAGAATTTTTTAATTGGTGTCAAAAAAGTATCTACAAGTGATCTTTTTTAATTTAAAAAGGTGAGGTGTTTAGAAGATGGTTGAAAGTTTAACATCTTTAAAAGGCATTCTGAGCTATTAGAGAAAATGTCCTTTCTTTGAAGCTGATGAACTTGTCTTTGTAAAGATTTCTCCATTCGAAACCCAAGGTGAGCCAAGGTGGGACTGTGGGTGTATGAAGGGCATGTGCATGTCCTTGGGTTGCAAATGAGCCAGAGCTCTTTCCTGTGACTTTTGATGTAGGACAGCCTTCAGGCAGGAGTTGAAGCCCTGGCA